GGAAGGCACTTGCTTCCATTTGGAATCCGTATCCTGACTCCTTTCCTGAAATAAGGAACCTAATGCAACCCTTGAGGACATCTCTATGTATGTATATACATTCATACATGTAAATATATAGATATATAATGGCCAGTCTTCGCGAGCGAAGATTTGGGAAAGGTCATTAACCCTTCGAGCCTGCGCAGTGGATTTTTTAGGTGAGACACAGCGTGCGCTGAACTGAGCCCACCCTTTAATCCTGAGGTTCATCTGCCGGGGCCGAGCAAGCTTGGACAGTGGCAGTGAGGGTCTCAGAACGTAGGTTTGTTTAGAGTGACCTTCTCTTAGATGGATTGCCTCACAGGGCTAACGAGCTCCATCTGCCCAGGGGGCTGGGAATCGAACCCGGGTCGCAGCGGTGAGAGTCCTGCACCCTAACCACTAGACCACTAGAGGCCCCATATAGATATATATAAGCATATATAAACATATATGTATATACATATGTGCATGAATGTATATGTAAAAATAGGCCTTTTATGGTTCTTGAAGCATGTTAGCATCCTTTTTGGAGCCCAAATAAGCACTGACCCAGGACAGGAGGCCTTATATGCCTTGAGGGAGGGTCTGACTGCCAGTCCTAAACTTTTACCACCAAAAGCTCTCTCAGCCTCCCCTGCTCCATCACCACTTGACCATGGCCATCCAGAATACTGACAGAGATGCAAGAGTTCAGGCATTGGCAGGGTTATATGGTTGTTGGTTCAGATTTGGGGAATCAAATGTTTCAAATGAAGTGGCCATAGTAGTCCTTGGACTTGATTACAATGACTTGCTTATTTTCTTATTTGATACCATCTGGCAGTCAGTATTGTTTAGTTGATTTGGAACTGATATGTTAATTCAAAAGGAATGGCATCTTGGGCTTTCTAGCTGGACTTCTACAGAATTTGCTGCTCTCACTCCATCAGAAGTAGAAGTTCAGAACTTCTACAAAGATTTGCAATTAAATCTTCTGTCTTTAGCATATGGTCAAAAATAACCTTCCATTCAGTGAGCAAACGAGCAGAACGATTAAACTACAGAGGCAACTGAGGGAGGGAAGCAGCAGCAGTCTTTGGAGTGTCACTGGTGTGACAGACGTTTGCATATCCCAGCTGCTAAATGACCTGTGTGGTAAAAAGGAAATTTGCCAGGGAAATAGTAGGGGCACGGGTCCCTTATATAATAAGGAAAACACGCGCTCTTCATGGTGGTGGTGAAACAAAGAGGTTTATTTCAAATTCGGCGCTTCCCTTTATACCCTGATATCATGTGACTTTCTTAACCAGTAGGGTTGTCCATTTAGACGCATGCTCCTTGGGGCTTCTCTGCCCCGGCACGTCCCCCGTGCCTTGGACATGCCTCCTACATCACCCCCCTCTTAATTATCTAAGGAAGTCACGAAAACAGTGCAAAAACAACAGTGCAAACAATTAGAACAGTACATTGTAAACCACCAAAGCTTGCAATGACCCAGCACATTGCTTGCTTGGCCTCTTATATCTCTATGGTAAACTTTATAAAACCTTCTTATATTCCTAAACGGTAGTGCAACTTGGAGAAATAACTTTATTAACCTAAAGGCCTTAGCCCAACTATGTTTAAACTTATAACCTTTATTAATCTGGGGGTTTTTAAATAACTGGGGAGTTCAACCTTTATTTAAGAAACAGGATAAGCTTAGCAAAACTAAATTTTCTTAAAGTGACCTTGTGGCGGGGGTAATGTTATTTTGTAAGGTGTTTTGTGTTTTAATATTTGTTCAGTCAAACAACTCTCTTTATTCATTCACTCTTCTCATTCATTGGCGGCTGCCACTCATTCATCTCACACACATTCACAGATTTTTTACAGACTGCTTTTTACCATATTGGTCATCCCTTAATGTAAACCTGAAACCTGAAACATAAATATAACTCTTTTATAACTTCTGCGTTACTCTGGTTCGTGCTGCTGGATTGTGTACCTAAATAGGGTTTTACACACCTGGAAGGAATCCACTTAAGTTCTTTTCCTGTAGCCACGCAGGTGTAGCCTCGTCCCCAAGTGACGAGATCTAACGGTCTTGTCCACTGCCCTGAATTCAAGTTTCTTACCATGACCGGTGGTTCGGGAGAGGCACAAGCCTGGGGCCTGTGTTGCTTTCCATACCTGCTTCTTTCAGTGCTGTCACAATTTAAAAAATTGATAACATACATAGCTTTTTACAGATGTTCTTGCGGGCTATACAGATTCTCCCCCTTTTTTGTTGTTCATTGAACATGTGTTTCAGTGTGTGATGTGCTCTTGCAATAATTGCCTGTCTTATGGGTTAGTGTGGAATGCTTGTGGTGTGAGAATTTTCCTATTTGATAGGAAATGGAGCCGATTTAGTATTAGTGTTAATCTTCTTTGGGGTACCAAAGGTTGCTAAGCAACTAAGCCCTCCCCACATGTGCTGTTACACCTGCCTGTGGGTCACTGGCATAAGCAGAGCAATTCTCCCTAAAATCGGCTAGCCACACATTGTCTTCCAATCGTGTGGCATACTTATCAACCGATCCTTCCCTGTTTGCTACTTCGCTCCCTCCCGGCAGAACCATCCTGGATTCCTCCTCCTCATCCCCCCATTCCTCCCCCCCTGTGGCCCCAGTAACCCCGGTTCCCTGTGGGGGGGGTGGTGGTGGGTGGTAGAGGCGGCGAGGGGGCGGGGTTACCTCCCCCTTTGTGCCTATGGGTGGGGCGGTGCTGAGACCGGGAGAGACGAGTCAGTTTCCGGTCCATGTGGCGGGCAGGATGGTGGCACCCATCCCGGGGCACATGGCCGGTGATCATCCGCGGTGCGGGGTGGCAAATATGCTGGGTTACCCCCCCATCGCTATTACGGGGCCCTCTGCACTGATCCCATGGGCTGGGATCTCGCATCACAGGCCCCGTCCCCTCCTGCCAATTTGCGTCCCCTTGCTCCCAGTCCCTGACCCGAAACTTAAGTCACGAACAGCTCTTCTCCCTCCCCCCACCGGACTTTGTGTGTTTGAGCTCCTACACCTAAAAGTCGGGCTGCTGCCAGCAGTGTGAGCGGGGGGGTGTCCATTCGTGTGCTCTGCTTAGTGCAGACATTATGACTTGCCAAGCTGGAAAAGCATTGTTAGCTTGGGGGTCTCCCCCCTGGGCTTTCAGTTTTATAAGGTTTCCTATTTTGTCCCATATTTCTATGTGAAGGGCTTCAACTAATGGCAGTTCAGGGACAGCTGCCTTAATAAAGCGTACAAGCTCTGTTAGTTCAGCCCTTGTGGCTTGTATATGATATGGTTTTAGCAGGATAGCCAGTGCATCTGTGTCCTGTGATATCTCAGTGGAGAAAAAATTTCCCATTTTACCTTTAAGTCTCGGCGCTGTAGATGTGCGCTGCTGGAAAGTCTTTGTCTATTTGGTGGCTTCTCCCAGTTCTTGGTCGACTGGGTCCACGTGGGTGGCGGAGGCGGGCTCATTGGTGCGGGCTGCGGTGGCTGTGGGTGCGTGGCATCTGCGACGGGTGGCTGCGGCGGGTGCGTGGCGGCGGCAGGCGCGTGGCGGCGGCGGACAGTCCTAGCGCTGGTCTGGCAGCAAAAAGCGGCGAAAAGTTCCTTTGGGGTCTCCGCGGCTTCTGAGTGGTTTTTCCTTGGCTTGGAGGGTCTACGTTGTCGTCACAGACAGGCAGGGGTCGGCAGGAAGCGGCAGGCTGCGGCAGTGAGCTGCAGCAGTTTCTGCTGGTCTGGCGGTGGCGCTGAGGATGTTAGAAGGTGGCAGCGGCGGAGCCGCTTTTACGCACATGGCCGAGCCGTGGCAAGCAGCGGGCAGCGGGGCTTCCCCGGCAGTTTTAAGGTGCTCCGCCGCCCGGGTCTCCGAGCTGCGGACACGGCACCGCTTAGGGAAAAGTCCTTGCGGCGTGGGATGTTGGCGCTGCCTCTCAGCGTGACTCACCGCTCCGGTGTATGTTGGACCCCGCTCCGCCTCTCCGACTGCCTCGATCTGTTGGTTTTTTCTTTTGTTCTTTTTCTTTTCGTTCCTGTGCACTTTTCCTAATATTTTTGGAGCTCACTAAACTAGGATTGCGTTTCTCAGACACTCTGAGACAACGACTTAAAAACGTCTGTTTTTTTCGGTGAAAATTCCCGTCTCGAAGTAAGTGAGACGATACCGGAATTACCGAGTTTTTTGCCTGATTCAGGATATGCTAAACTGACTTAATATAAGTTCAAAGTCCCAAGTTCAGGTACGCCATATGTAGGGGCACGGGTCCTTATGCAATAAGGAAAACACACACTCTTCGTGGTGGTGGTGAAACAAAGAGGTTTATTTCAAATTTGGCGCTTCCCTTTATACCTTGGTATCATGTGACTTTCTTAACCAGTAGCGTTATCCATTTAGATGCATGCTCCTTGGGGCTTCTCTCCCCTGGCACGTCCCTTGTGCCTTGGACACGCCTCCTACAGGAAATAGTTTTTTTTGGGGGGAAAGCATCTCGGCATGTGTATATGTCATTGAAACCACATCTGTGAGTCACTCACACCTGCCTTTCATGTGGAGAGCAGGCAGAGGCAGTGCCACTACTTGGTCCCTGTGCCCAGGCTGAGGACCAGGCTGGCTGTGCTGCGGCTGCTGCAGCCACACATCACGATGCTGCTGTGGGCCCCAGGTAGGGCCCACTCTGGGCTGGATTTAATGCCACCTGGAAAGGCTGTCAGTGCAGTGATGCCCTGGGCATTCCTGCACTGGAAGAACCAGTGATGCGGCTTCCAATCTGCTCTGTCTCCACCCATCCCAGCTGGCAGCTACAGCAGGAAGAGATGAGAGGAGATAGGAAGTGCAGGGAGGTGCAGGCATCTTCCTCACAGGGTGAGAGTCTGGTTCAGAGGACACTAAGGGTCAGATTCACAGGTATGTATGTAATTGTCATAATTCTGGTATGTGTGCAAGGCCTCCATCACCCTTACACTGATGTTTCCCTTCAACAGAAACAACCTGGGAGCGGCCAAGCAGTGTGCCTGGGACTCCAAAGAGCCCTGTGTCACAGAAGAGTTCTGCAGGTAGTGTTTGATGCTGTGCTTGACCACTGTGCAATATGTGAATCTGCTTCTCTGCTACTCAGCGAAGCAAAAGAAAATGCTGTGATACAGTGGGATGTAGACTTGATGTACATATAGAATCATTGACTGGTTTGGGTTGAAAGAGACCTTAAAGACCATCTTGTTCTACCCCTCTGCCATGGGCAGGGACACCTGTCACTAGACCAGTTCCTCCGAGTCCCATACAACCTGGCCTTGGACACTTCCAGGGATGGGGCAGCCTCAGTGTCTCTGGGCAACCTGTGCCAGGGCCTCACCACCCTCACAGCCAAGAATTTTTTCCTAATATCTGATCTAAATCTACCTTCCTTCAGCTTAAAGCCATTCTCCCTTGTCCTATCACTGCAGGCCCTTGTCCGAAGTCCCTCTCCAGCTCTCTGATAGCCTCTTTCTGTATTGGAAGGGGCTCTACGTTCTCCCTGGACCCTTCTCTTCACCAGGCTACATGGTCATGAGAGTGTAGCAGAGCAAACATGGTGGGGCTTTCCCTTCTGATATGTCTTCTTGACTGCTGTTTCCGTGCCAGTCCATCTTCTGGCTGGGTGTCTGAAGTGTCTACTTAAGAGCTGAGGTGGCTCCCCCTCAGAACACAGAGGCAAAAGGTAGCCCAACAAGCCCTTTCCCAGTCCTGCTTTCTGATGGGGCAGGGAAATTAAATAGCAGCAGAGGCACATGGGCTGGCTGATGCTCTTCCATACACAGAGAAGTGTTTTAGCATGTGATAGCAACAGGGCTGACCACATCACCTCTGTTCTGACTTGAGATTGCAGGAAATCAAGTAACAGAATCAGGTGCATAACTGTACTGAAAAGCTCTGGGTACTGCAGAATGACAGAGCAAAGCAAAAGTTACTCTAGAATAAATAGTATTATATGTAAAGGCCATTGCTGCCAGCTGACTGTAAATAAAGCAGGCGAGAGGATGTTTTCCATAGAAATTTTCAAATCGATGTCCCTCTTTATCAGCAGATCTGAGTGGAAAATCTGCTTGAAAATTGTGCAGTTTACTGTAAACAAAGGATCTGTAATGTAGTTGAGTATCTTGTTTTAACTGTACTTTGAGCATTATTCTTTGCTCAGTATATTAAAAAAGGAATGGCAACCTACAGCTGCATACATGAAACATAAACATCTTACAAGGCTTGCCTTCTTGATGTGAAAACCCAAATCCATTAAACTAGTGCCTTTTATGGATGCCAGGTGCCCACCAAACTACTCTGTCACTCTCCTCCTCAGCTGAATGGGGGAGAAAACTATGAGAAAAGGCTTGTCAGTCAGGATAAGGCCAGAGAGAGATCACTCACTGATCACAGTCACGGGCAAAACAGATTCCACTCAGGAAAATATGTTATTTATTATCAATCAAATCAGAGTAGGGTAATGAGAAATAAAACTAAATCTTAAAACACCTCACTCACACCCCTCCCTGCTTCCTGGGCTCGACCTCACTCCTGAATTCTCTCCTTTCTCCCCTCTCAGTGGTGCAGGGGGTTGGGGAATGGATGATGTGTTCATCACACATTTTCTCCGCTGCTCCTTCCTCCTCAGGGGGAGGAGGACTCACACTCTTCCCTGCTCCAACATGGGGTCCCTCCCACAGAAGACAGTCTTCCACAAACTTCTCCAAAGTGAGAGGCTGCAGTTCTTCACAGACTGGTCCCCACAGGGTGCAGTCCCCCAGCAACAGGCTGCTCCAGCATAGGTCCTTCCCATGGGGTCAGTCCTTCAGGAACAAGTTGCTCCAGCATTGGTCTACCATGGGTCACAAGTCCTGCCAGCAAACTGTCTCCAGTGTGGACTCCTCTCTCCATGGGTCCTCAGCTCCTCAGAGACACTGTCCCTGTAGCATGCCCCCTAGCAAAACATGGCTGCACAAAACCAGCGCAACATATCCCATTTGTTCAAACACATCATTTTACCAAACAGTGCTATGGGAACTGGTTTGAGTCTGGAGGTGTCTTTTTCTTGGCTTTTTCCAGCTCAGTAACTCCTGTCATAACTTCTGATAAGACCCCACTGCAGGGTCCTGAGCGCAGAGTGGGCCCATGGGCAACTGCCTGTTTTGTCCTTCTGCAGAGTCGGTTCTGGGGTCTGTCTGGGTCACATTGCCAGCCTGTTGGGATGGGGGGAATCATCCGTAGTTTCTTAGGCTGGAGGCAGTGAACACTTGAATCAGAAAAGGCACTGTGATCTAGATCTGCATATTGAGTTATGAGATTAGTTTTTAAAATGTGCAATTTTTTATTTGCTACCAGCAGCAATCCTGATGACTCTCCATCTGTTCTTACAGTGAATGGCTACTACATTTCTGGGACTCCGGTACACCAGCTTGACTCTGGTCATATGAGCCTCCAAAAAGCCAGTGGGGATCCCCAGGTAAGTTTTTGGGAAAAAGCCAAACAACAGTATCCAAGAATAAATGGGTCTTCACTTAAGTAGTTTAAGAATCCACCCAGAGCAGGTGGCAAAGAGCCATCTTCTTTTAGAACCTGTCAGATCAGACAGATTTGTTGCATGTGGAATAGTTAGTCTTTGTGTCCAGCTGGTAAAACAGTAAAAAATGCCAAGACCCTTTGGATTTTTCTGTCCCATGACTCCTTTCTGAAAAATCCACGAGGCCACTTCAGTCACTAGTAACAACCCTACGAATTTTCCTGCCGCTCCAGCCTGAAGCCTGGGCCTGTGTCCAGCACAGTCCTCTCTCTACACTCCCACGTCTGCCCATGTCTGTGCCTCATTGTATTTTCTTGCAGCTCCAGCTTTCTGTCCCAAAGACAGTATACAGAAAGAATTTGTCCAAAGCTTTTTTCTTAATGACTTCATCTACTCTGGCCTGTCCTTTCACAGCCCCTCCTCAGTGCCTCACCCACCACATCACCCTGGGCTAACCTACAACCCGTGGACAGCCAGCCTCCCCCAGCCTGTTTGTCCAAATTTCCAATAAATATCTCTGCACTTTTTCTTGCACCACATCATGTCCCTGCGAGAGTCTTCCCAGCAGGTCTGCAGATGCAGCACAGGGCCCTCTTCCAGCTCCTCCCATGAAACTTTTCGCTCTCTGCCATCACCGTATTACCATGTGACTACCACAGCTGGTGGGTTGCACTCCAGTTGGGTTGTGCTTCCTCACCCACTCGTTCCCCCAGTTCCTTTGCAGTGCAACTCCTTAAATACCCACGGGGAAATGCATGTTTGACTGGTGTGCTGCTGCCATGTGGGTGTGGCTTTGGTGCTATCAGTGTCTTTCTGATGTTCCCTGTTTCGTGTGTTGTCTGGCAAATGCCCCTCTTTGCCTCAACCCCCTTTCTTGAACACTGCCTTCTAACTGGTGGCCTTCAGCCTGGCCCTCAGGTGGTCTGTCTCATCTAGGTCAGTATTTCTGGTTTAGGTTCATGGCATCTCTCATGATACAGTTCAGCACTTTGACTCCCTGATTGTTCCACATCAAACATCTTGCACTTAATTGCCCATGCTGCTGCTTCTCTCAGCACTTTGCCCAGGCTGGAGACAGAGTGAGCACCTTAACTAGGGCAAAAGCATTTTATAAACTTACCAGACACCCTGTCCACATGTCTGCTGTGACTCCCTCAGAGAACCCAAATAAACTTGTAGGGTGTGACTTCCTTCAAAAAACCCTTGTTAATCCTTGTGCAAAAAAAAATTCTCATGGTATCCAACCCTCATGTTTTTTTAGTAGGCTTGAAACACAGGTCAGATTAACTGAGTCCTCCAGAACTTCCTTTGTAGCAACATTTGCCACCTTCTGTTTTTACAATGCTGAGTCTCACTCAAATTCATAGACATCTTTTTAGTCAAATTCACATCTGAGATACGTGGGGAGTCACAGAGTCACAGAATGGTTTCGGTTGGAAGGGAGTCTAAAGACCATCCAGTGCCAACTCCCTGCCATGGGCAGGGACACCTTCCACTATCCCAGGTTGTTCCAAGCCCTGTCCAACCTGTCCTTGAACACTTTCAGGGATCGAGGGGCAGCGACAGCTTCTCTGGGCAACCTGTGCCAGGGCCTCACAGGGAAGAATTTCTTCCTAATAACTAATCTAAGCCTGCCCTCTGCCAGTATGAAGCCATTCTCCCTTGTTCTATCACTCCAGTCCCTCGTTCAAAGCCCCTCTCCAGCTTTTTGTATGCTGCTTTCAGGTACTGAAAGTTCACACTAAGATCTCCCCAGAGCCTTCTCCAGGCTGAACAACTCCAGCTCTCAGCCCTTCAGTGCTATGCACTGCTTTGCTCAAATGACTCAACCATCAGCCTGTCAGAAATTCCTTTCATGACTTTTTTCATTCCCTTCATCGTCTCCATGATATTTTCTTTCCATTGGTCCTTTATTACAGGTTTTTCCAAATGGAAGTCCTGGCTTCATCCCTACTTTGAACCAGCTTTGAACTAGTTTTGAATCTTTAACTGGCTGTTGGTGTCATTAATTCTCAGAACAGCTTGTGTCCACGCCCACTTGGGAACCTGCTTTTCCTGGAAGCTGTGGCAGCTTTTGCAGAAGAGTCCTTAGTAGGGAAAACATCTGATCATAAACTCTTGCTTGCAAGAAGCTGTGCTCTACACCCTCAAAATCTTTTTGGCCCGTCCCTCTCCTTGTGTATCTTGGGCCATCCCAAACTGCTTTACTTTGACTGCCTCCTTGTGTGTTCCCAGTACAGGCTGTTTCCCACTGTGGAGCAGCTCCCAGGCATTCGCTGGGGTGCTTTCTTAGACCTGGGTAGCAGCCACCATGCAAACAAACGCTGGCAAGATCCCTCTGGCAAGCTCAGCTACATTTCTTGGAAACAGGTCAAGGGGGGAAAAAGCCACAACTGAGAACAACGCAGAGCTGTGCTGTGCTGGGCGCAGGGCCAGCCCTTGTTTATGGCTTCCTAGAGAGCAGCTAAGTGCTGCCTGTTCAGGTTGTCACAGCTGCCACCAAGGGAACAGCAGAACAGCCATGGAACTGCATGTGTGCGGTGCTGGGCATGATGCTGCTGCTGGGCATCAAGTCCCAGGATGAGCACTGGGTGCCTGGGCAGTGGGATATGGGGTGGGAGTCCCCGACACAGCCCAGTGATGATGCCAGGAGTGACTTGTGTGCTGCAGAACAGCTGTCACAGCATCTGAGCTCCACCAGGGATCCCAGCATGTACCCTGCAACAGGGACAGAGGGCACTGTCAGCCTGGGGGAACTGCAGGGCACTTTTGTGTCCCTGTCCCCAGGGGGGTCACAATGCCACCATTCCACAGGCAGACAGGAACTGTCTGATGGCAGGACACTGCCACCATCCCTGTCCCCACTGGGGCACAATGGCACCCTGTGGACCCCAGGACCCTTGTCCTCATCTCCAGGGGGGGCACAATGGCATCCCACGAGACAGCAGGACACTGTGACCATTCCTGTCCCTAGCAGTGGATGTCACCATCCCACAGCATGGCAAGACCCTGCCACCATTCCTGTTCCTGTCCCCATATCCAGGAGGGCAAATTGACACCCCACGGGACACCAGGACCCCTGTCCCTGTCCTCAGGGGTGTGTGATGTTCCCGCCTCATCCCATGGCAGAGGAGGACACTGTCTCCATCCCTGTCCCCGAGAGCGAGTGCCATCGTCGCACGGCACAGCAGAACCGGTTTCCGTCCCCACGGCGCTTCAGCCCGGGCCGCCCGCAGCCCCGCGCGGCGGGGGCGGGGGGCGGAGCGCCGGCCGGTGCCTCCTCCAGCTCCCCCTCCCGGGCCGTGCCGAGCCGTGCCGTGCCATGGGACCCGCCTCTCCCCCGCCCCGCGCAGCCATGCTGGGCTCCGAGAGCGGCCGTGATGATGCGCTCCGGTTCTCTTCGCAGAGCCCGGGGTCCCCGGCGGCACCGCGGCGGCAGAGCAAGGAGAGCAGCCTGACGGTGAGTGCGGGGGACCGGGCCGGGGGGAACCGCCGGGGGCTCCGTGCGGCTCCCCGAGCAGTGGGGCTGGGGGAGGCGGGCGGGGAGAGCATCCTTCACTCGGCATTTTAGTGTTTAAACCCTAAGAAACCCAGGGAGGCTTTGGGATCGCTGTCCTAGGCAGGAGTCCAGGCGCATTTTCCCGTTGATTTCGTTGGTTCTAGGATGAGCGGGAGGGAACGCGGTACCTCAGACTGTGAACCAGGTGTCCTGAAAAAACTTCATCTGATCACCCCCCCCCCCCCAACAACTGCTTCTGTATCGGGAAAAGCACTGAAAGGTTGGAGAAATACAAACAGCGGAGGTTGATCGTTGCTCTGCCAGGGCAGGAGGTTTATTTTTTTTCTCAAAGAATCTGTATTTTTTTCTCAAAGAGGTGTCAGAAGGTTTCTTGTGCCAGTGTCCAAATGAAGATTTCTGATAGGTAGTATAGGCAAAGGTTTTAAGTTTCAGTATGAAGTTAATCTTACATTTGCTTTTAATATTTGATTAAATATAATTGACTCAATGAAGAGCCTTTGCACAAGAACACATAGTGACAAGACAAGGGACAATGGTTTTAAACTGCAAGAGAGTAGGTTTAGATTAGATACTAGGAAGAAATTCTTCCCTGTGATGGTGGTGAGGCACTAGCACAGGTTGCCCAGAGAAGCTGAGGCTGCCCCATTCCTGAAAGTGTTCAAGGCCAGGCTGGATGGGGCTTGTAGCAACCTGTCTAGTGGAAGGTGTCCCTGCCCAGGGCAGGGAAGTTGGAGCAAGGTGGCCTTTAAGGTCCTTTCCAACTCAAACCATTCTGTGATTCTATGTTATGAATAAAGATGTTCTCAGTATCATGATTACAGACATTAATATCTTTTCTATGCTTGGTGACCTCATCTGGAACACAGTTTGCACTTCTGGGCCCCTCAATGTAGGACAAACGATTAAAAACAGAAAGGAAAACAAAATAGATGAATGAAAGTGGCTGGGAAAAGAAAGTTTTATTTAAATGGAAATCAAAAGAAATTAATAGATAAATTAATTACAGTGATAAAGGTGAGGCAATAACCATACTTACAGCTGCAAGCATTGTCAGGATATCAGATCCACAAGAGCAAATGGAATAATTCAGTATTATACATCGCTGTTAATGTTACTACAAGGAGGAGATAATTGTCTATATTATCGCACGCAGCCTGTGGATTTATTCATCAGTAGGCTGGGTTGCTGGTGACAGAGACCAGGATTTGAAAGGTGCACATGCAGGTGTCTCTGACTGCAGAGTGGGTCAGTCACTGCCATGCAGGTACAGTTTTCTACGGGGAGAAAAAATCTTGAACAGTTTTTGAAAAAAACACTTGAGTGATTTTGATACTTGATTATCAAAATCAGTTGTTGTAAATGTTATTACTGTAATTAGCATATTGGGAGAGTGATATGGTTTGAAATAAGTATAAATCTGTTGGTTTGGGCATTTTCGCAGATGTCCTGGGGAATCAGCTGCTCCTGGGGGCTACAGTGGCTGGAGGAGGAGGCATGTCCAAGCCCCCAAATGCAGCCCTTGCCTGCTCAAATCAGTGGGGTAGGAGCAAATCATAGGCTGAACATGGTGACCAGAGGGACTAGACATCGTTACAGGGTGGGTTACACTGGGCTGCAGGGCACAGCACAAGAGCAGGAGTGCTTGGTTTTTTGCAATCCCCATTGTTTCCAAGGCTGTTCATTGAGGGTGGTTTTTCATATTTGCTAGCCCACGTGCCATCTGCAAAGCAAGAAAGTGTGTGTTATGTCAGGGTCACTGAGCGTGCATTTCTCCAGCAGAAGTCCAAAGCTTTCAAGTAGAATGCATCAGACAGACAAAAATAAGCTAATTTTAACAGCTGTTTGCTCCAAGCCATTGCCTCCATCAAGACAGCATTGTGAAAAACAAATCTCATATGGAGTGTAAACTGTAAAACAATATAAGGTTTTCCCCTGTCTCCTAGGAGGTTCTGTTTGCTCAGCGCCTCTCAAGCTGATGTGTGGATGATCTAGTTAGCAGAGCTGCAGGGCATGTCCTTAGCATGCTGTCAGATGCTTTTCCTTGGTCTGTAGCTGTGCTCAGGCAGAACCTCTTCTTGTAGAGGGGAATTTTATGGTTAGCTTTGAGGCTCTTGGTCCATCAAACCTCCCTCCAAACTGGAATCCTTTGGCACGCAAGCTGTGGACATCAGGTGATGTTCACTCTGAGCAGCGGCTGCAGCCAAGCTATTGCTGCGTCATTGCCTTCAGCAGAGGAGTGGGAGCTCGTTCCGTCTTCTTCAGAATGCATCTCCCTCTTCTACATCCAATCAGCATTTAGGAGCACAGCTTCTGGAAATCCTGAAGGCAGGTGTGAGCTGGAGTATTTCCCATCTATGTGCACCCAATAAGAATAATCTGGTGTTTCCTCTTTGGTGAGTGAATGTTACCAACACAGTCTTCCATTTTTTTGGAAGGGAAACCCCAACAGGGTGTATCAGAGGTGTTAGGAAGCTGCTGGTTGCACAGAATATGGCTGCTTACTTAAGAAGCAGCAGTGCAGATGTGTGGTCTGCTGGTTTTGCAGTGAGTTTCAAGGTGCACTCACTACTTTTAGGCTGGATGGTTTGCTAGCTGATTTCTGAAGAAGAGATCATTTATGATAGGCGAGGGAGAGTTAAATGGAGAATATGCAGGGGGATATCAACTCAGGAACAGATCTATGTATCACTTGAAGAGCAAGAAACTTGCCTGATTATAAGGTGTTCCTGAGTGTGGGTTTCTTTCTGAAGAATTCTGTAGTACCTTGTCAAGATAGTGCAAGACTTGGAAAGTGCTGGTGTTCGGATTGCATGTGTTGGACACATCAATGAACACGTGCTGCAGATGGGAAGAGGGGCAGTCTACGTGCAGGAACTTTGGATTTCCTGCTGCTGTGCTCTGCATCTGACACAACGTTAATGAATGCAAGGTTGTGATGAGCACAGGGTGAGGCTGCACATTCAGCAGGGTTCTCCCCTCTGCCCTGGGGGTGACTGCATGGTAGATACTGTCAGAAACCCCTTGGCTTGGCAGGGGGATGAATCACCTCTGAACCTTTCTACAGACAGACCAAGTAAAGAGGGCTCCTGAACACTTCTGGCAGAATCTTCCCTTTGAAATAGGAAGCAATCAACGCATTTGTTAACAATGAGGACTTTGGTTGTCTGTTCTTCCCTCCTGTTGTACCGTAGCTGCAGCATCACCCTGCCAGCACTAAAACCACAGGCAAAATAATGATGTTGAAGCTACCTAGACACAGCCTAGGCATTCCTGGGCTTCCCTGTCTGGGGAGAGTTCAAACTGCCCAAGCCTCTATCTGTGCCCAAGCTCTTACGAGATCTCTTCCAGTCTTTGCATTTGGTTGTTTTACCCAAACGGTTCCATTTGCAATATGAACTGACTTAGTGGAGTTGGATGTTGTACTGTTGGGGCCTCAGATGACATTGTAAAGAAGATACTGAAGTGAGGCAATCTGGCACAGCTTTGCTGTGTTAAGGTGCTGTGAATGTGCAGAAATCAGGAAAAATAATGTGCATTTTTAAGCTGAAGAAATGAGCAAAAATGTTGCCCTGCTTTAGTCAGTTCACCATGGCACAGTAAGCTTACCCGCTGTCTACTAATTTATTTATGTAGTATCTTATGTAATAAACATGTAGTTGATTATCTAGCCCTTGATCAAATTATTATTGTTTTATTCATGTTGCTTGGCAATGTATCATTTACTGGTGAGTGCTGGTAGCAACTTCAAAGCCTCCAGAGACTTTGAAATCCAGGAGATTAATGTGCATGTCCAACCCAAAAAAGTTTGTTGCTTCTGTGCAAACCCTGTGCATTCACCTGGCTCCCTGTGTCTTTTCCTCTTCTGTCACCCTGTTGTGTCTCAAACATAATGAAGAGTCACCTACAATGTAAACAGCTCATTTTGCCATGACTGCCAATGTGCTCATGGGAATAGGAGCTGGAATATTTAGCTATTAAGAGTATAATTGCATTTGATTATGATAAGTACACAGGCAAAAGTATTTTAATCCATTGAGTTTGGCATACAGCTTGTCAAGAGAAATGTATCAATTTGTGCTGCTTCTCTGATCCTGTGTGTGTGTGTGTATGTGTGTGTGTCCCACCAAGCTTTGTTGTCACCATGTTTTTACCTAGATGTCTTCTCTAACTCTGTACCTTTTTCTGTCCTCATGATCCAGTGGCTCTTTCACAGATTTTCTGGTGCCAAGCATGGCCGGGGCAGCTGGAAGGACAAGCTGCTGGGAAGATTTGCTCAGCTCATATTTGGGAATTAGCCCTGCTTAATTTCCCTTTGCTGCAAGCTGACAACAGCCATTATTTTTATTAGTGAAGAGGCTGGATGAGAACTTAATATCATGGTGAAGCTGATTATCGCCTTGGCTGTCCCGGTGGAGTCTGTGAGAATGTAATGCAGGTCATCACACCTTGTTTTCTCTTCATGTTCTGTGACTCCATCATTACCTGAGATATGTGTTTTAATTTGTTTTGGTTTTTTACTGGCAATTACACCTGCAATAGTCAACTTCTGCAAGCTTTTGTTAGGCCTTGCTGGTGAGTCAGCATTGTTGAGAGATTAGCACTGCCATGGGTTTGAATTTGGACCTTGCACAGCGCCTGCCCAGCTGTCAGGGATGTGACTAGTGAGAGTGTGGTCCCTCACGATTAGTAAGGGCAGTGGTCCCTCATGTGGAGGGAACGTCACTGTTCGTGGGACTGATCAAGCTTTTTAGTGCTGTCAGACATGGGGACATCATCGTGAGATGCTTTGGCTGTCTTTACCATCAGTCAAAAAGCTCATCAGTGGGACTAAGCTGGTGAAATAGAGTGCTTTTTCCAGCTATCTTTGCTTTTAGAAAAAAGAAAAGTAGCATTTCAGAGGGGGAATGCCATGCCCTCTTGCCACTACTGGTGTGTGGCTGTGTCTTGCTCACTACCAGCCTTGGTGTTCCCCTCCTGCTGGGAAATCCTGAGAGGTTTAAGAACTGTTAGGAAATACAAATCCAAGAGCTCTTGTTTAAATATAGCAAATCTGTGGTGATGAAAGGAGAGAAAGATCACGAGATTTCCTATGCAGTCATATATAGTTTTTAGTAATATTTCTAGAGTTTTGAAACTTTCCATGCCCCTGCTAGGACTTAGTGTAGAAAGGTATAAGTTTGGTTAAGTTCTGTTTACCACACAAATAATTCTTTTTTTTGTAAGACTGCAAAAGCTTCTGCATTTTAGTTTTCTAATTCTGACATCAGTTCCCTTTGAAAAGTGATACTAGACCCAAATGGCCTCATGACTCTGTCCAGACAATTCAGCATCATTTCTAGATAGTCTTCTGAGAAGAATATTTGATTTATTCCTAAATCTTTGAGTCTGATGACATTCTTTGAGAAACATATGAATTAATCCTACTCTCATCACCTGTTGATGTGCATACTCACTGTTCCTCTTCCTGCTGCATGCATGGAGTTCAGTCCACTGCAGTGGGGCACCGTCACGAGTCCCAGCCTGGGCATTTCCAATGACTCTGTGGTTAGTGCTTCAGGAAATTAACTTTAAGACTCACTGTGATATCACTAATCAGCAGTTTCCAACTGACACAGATTTATTTTTTTGTGAAACAGGCACTGCCTTTAGCAGAGAATAGGAATTTCCCTTGCTGTTTGTCTATGCAGATTTTTACACTGTAGGGAACAACTTGTGTGCCACTGTATGTGCTCCCCACTGCACATCACCTCCCTGTCCTGGTGCACAGTGCCATGATACAGTGATCCAACTCAGGATATTTTATGTTTCTATGATTCTGTGATGCCTGGTCTTCTGGTCTTTTGCAAAATACACTTAGGAGGTGCTTGTTTTCCCCTTCTCAATATCCAGTGTGAAAATGTTGGGCCCTAGAAATCTGCCTTGAAAACACTGCTGTCTTCACGGGAAGCATTTGGTCATTTCCCAGTTGAAATAAGTCATCTTGGACAGCACAAAGCACACTCAGCACTGTGTTTCCACAGTGGACATCCCAGCCATTCTTTGTGAGACCACCAGTATGAGGATAGTGGAAACCAGAATAGCTGTCCTTTCACCAGTGCTGTATTGGTGCTTCTAGTGGGGAGATGTGAATCACTTCCAGCATCCTAAAACTTCATGCAGTCTCCTTAACTCTTTTGCCTTGTGCTGCTAACTGTTTTTAACTTGAGCTAAATCCTGAGTTCCTGTAGCTTGGCAGTCTGCTCTTGAGAGTCAGCATCTTGTCCTGGGTGCTCATGAGGTGTATTCTGTAAGCATACAGAATGGCTGTGCTCAGGGCAGTGTTTCGTGCAGGCTGCCAGGTAGGAGGGACTGGAGTGGCTGAAAGTGCTGGCATGCAGGTGTCATGAGATCATACAGATTTTTATTCAGTGAATATGAAATACAGCATTAAAGACAGAAATCCTCAAATCCAGAAGCTGCGTAAACCTGTCTTGACACCATGTACCTTAATGTGGTTCCTTGTAGCATTGCCATTGCTGACAATACTGCATCTCCCCTTCTCCATGAGGATGAGCTGCAGCATTACTCACTCACGGGAGTCAGTTTGCCTTCTGTGATATGTGACAGTGATTGTGCAGGGGTTCTGGAGGCCATCTCATTTTTTTGAGGCAAAACTAACTGCAGTATGTGGTATTATTTGAGAACTGGTGTGTGGTTGTGCCAGCACAGAGGCATGACCAAGTACCAGTGCAGCCCATGCTCAGCAGTGGCACTGGATTTCATAGGATCATAAGAGGAGTCATAGAAAGACTTGGGTTAGAAGGGACCTTAAAGCTTATCTTGTTCCAATTCTCTGTCCTCCCTTGGCAGGGACATAGACCAGGTTGCTCCAAGCCCCATCCGACTTGGCCTTGAACAATTCCAGCAATGGGACAGTCACAGCTTCTCTGGATCTGATGATCTCTGAAGCGAGGTGAAGCCTGTGTTCTGTCAGGCCTTGTTCACCAGCCCAGTAGTGGTCCAGGCCAATGTTTATCAGACACTGCCTGAAAGGAATAGTTTTACTGAAGGTTTCCAGACAGTATTTTTAAGACATTTGGGATGATCAGTTTGAAGCTTCCTGGCAGGGGAGAGAGGAGTCCCCTAATGGGGTGTTGAGCCAGTGCTTACTGGCTCATGCCAGAGCTTTGCAGAGCCTGCAGGCATCTCTGCACCCCCCTGCTTGCACCAGCTGTGCCCGGGGGACAGATGCCAGCTCCTCTCCTGGGGGAGATCTGCTCATGGGCTTTTAGTTTTTTGGTTATCCCTGAATGGGGCCCCCTGGTGGTCTAGTGGTTAGGATGCAGCACTCTCACTGCCGCAGCCAGGGTTCGATTCCCAGTCAGGGGACTTGCCCGGGCAGATGGAGCTCGTCAGCCCTGTAAGGCCATCCATCTAAGAGAAGGTCACTCTAAACAAACCTACGTCCTGAGGACCTCGCTGCCACTGTCCAAGCTCACTCGGCCCCGGCAGTTGAACCTTAGGATTAAAGGGTGGGCTCAGTTCAGCGCACTCTGTGTCTCACCTAAAAAATCCACTGCGCAGGCTCGAAGGGTAAAGACCTTTCCCAAATCTTCGTTCGCGAAGACTGGCCATGATATCCCTGAATGGAGAAGGGAAGGTAACCCTACCTATCTAAAAAAAACAGGGCAAGATGGGCTTGCAGTTTTCCGGAGAGAACTTTGCTGGCAGGGAAGGGACAGGAGAGGAAAACTTCAGCAGAGATAGAAGGTGTCCTCAGTGAAACATCTCTCATGGAGGCTGCAGTGGTGACAGAAGTCAGCATGGGGGCTGAGAGGCTCATTGCAGCAGCACAGGCAAGCCCAGCTGAGTGTGACTACAGTGGTATGTCCCCTGGCTTGTCTTCAGGGAGATGTCTGGGTGATGGGGAGCACTGGCACTGCTGTTGCGTGGCCATCCCACTCTGAACTGAGCTGATGTTCTGTAACTCCTGATGTAACTCTTCTGACAGGGAACATTTGGGAGCAGGGAGGGCGTTTGCAGTGTTGTCTGTTGCTGAGACCCCGTGGCCATTGGAGGCCGGTGCTGTCTGGAGAGGCTGGCTCTGGCTGGCAATGATACAGGCTCTGGCTGGAGAGGCTGGCTCTGGTTGGAGGTGCAGGGTCACTAGTGCATGGCTGCTGCCTGCAAAGCCTTGATCTCTGACCTCCTGCAGATCAGTTTTGAAGCCTGATGGAAGCTGGAAGGGAAGACTCATGGTTTAGGATCTAGCTGAGGTGACAACCAAAGACAGTGTAGGTACAGGGTCCTCAGCCTGCTTTGAAGTGGACTTGGCGTGCTCTGGGCAGAGTGATTTATGTAGAGCAAGCTCTTGCATCACTTACAGGAAAACTGCTGAACCTCCAGCCTGGGCAGATGGCAGCAGAGCCAGTGTGGGTTTGTAGGAGCAGCCTTGTATCAGCTAAAGGCTTTGTCTGCTTTGCTCTGGCATGGGGAGTTTGCACTGTGTCAGCACCCGCATCCTTTCTGATCCTCTCTCAATAGCCCAAAGGCAGACTCACTGCCTGTAAGCACTGCCTTTGGGTCTGCCTATGCAGCTGTGCTAACCCTGCCCACAGCTTTGTATATGGATTTCCTGTGAGCATTAACTGATCCAAAAGAAAACCCCACACCCATACAATGATATCTGTGAGTCTCCCATCCCCAGTATCTGTTGGTTCCTTGATTAATACCCAAGTACTCTTAGTGTCCCGTGACCCTGTGGGTGCACTGAGAGGGCCTGATCTTAGGGACCTGCTCAGCAGGGAATCGGGGCAAGCATTATAAACTGGCAGTGAGCTCTGACTCTTACTGGTGCATCCTCTGAAGGGCTTGGCTGTGTCCAGAGTTGTTCTGCAGCATGTTCTGCAGTAGCTGTCATGCTCTTAGCCTTCACTGTGCTTTTATCAGGCTGCATGTTCCACTGCGATAACTTAATGAGCACTTGGGCTTTTTTATGCCATTGTTTAATGACCATGTGATGAGTCCTGCCTCACAGATTGCTGTGGTTTTTGCACACTGAAGGCTCGCTGACCTCAGAGAGCCCCTGTTCCTTGTAGCAGGGACCATCACTTTCATCTGAAAAAGTCTCTTGAGATAGATGGAAGGGCTGTGCACTGAAAAAATAACCTGTTTTTTGTAATCCTATAGGAGACTGGCATAGCCGAGGTTTTTTGCTGAGATACGCCGTTCGTGCCTGCAGTGCTTTCTGATGCTCACTGTGTTTCTGTGTTGAGGGTGTGCTCAGGGTGTTTCACATCCAAGTTTTTTACCACAGTTCTTAGGGATCTGGGAGAACTCCCCACATGGTGCTTTCCAAATCCAGTAGGTTTCCCTCATGTGAAACGGGTAGTTTATTTTCCTCTGAGCTGACACTCCTGCTTGCATAGAAGAGCTTTCTGGGAATACTTAGCTGCTGTTTCCATGCAACAAGGAATTTTTCTTCACTGGCATGCATTCACTGCGGATTTTCTGATGGGAAGTGCATGGATATAAACTTTCATTTGCATATTTCTCATCAACAGCTAAATTTCATTGCTGTCTAACTCCCTTTTTTTCTTTTTTTTTAACAGATCAACTGTGTGACTTTCCCCCACCCTGACGTAATGCCAGAGCAGCAGTTGCTGAAACCTTCAGAGTGGAGCTACTGTGATTATTTCTGGGTAAGTAGGCAGCCAGCCACGTGCCATATTGAAGCTCCAGAGCTTCCAAAAAAGTGGAACAAACAGCTTGATTTGTGGCACAAGGTAAAGGAGAATTTGGGCTGAGGTACAGTGTGTAAGGGCAGTACCAGGGAGACTGGCGATGCCAGTGAAGATCTTGTGGAAACCATCTGACCAGTCTGAGATGTGGGCGATCATCAGAGAAGTGTTCAGAAAGGCAAGCACATCTGTCAGGAGATGGATTGGGTCAGGAAACGGGGAGGATATAGGACAAGCCACACATCTCAAAATACCTCAGGCAGAAGGGTTGTGCATCAGGAAGGGGATGGAATCACAGAATCTCAGAATAGTTTGGATTGGTAGGGACTGTAAAGCTTGTCTAGTTCCAAACCTCTGCCATGGGCAGGGTCACCTTCCACTGGACCAGGTTGCTCCAAGCCCCATCCAACCTGGCCTTGGACACTTCCAGGGATGGGGCAGCCACAGCTTCTCTGGGCAACCTGTACCAGGACCTCACCACCCTTGCAGGGAAGAATTTCTTCCCGATATCTGATCTAACCCTGCCCTCTGTCAGTTTGAAGCTATTCTTCTTTGTCCTGTCACTCCAGGCCCTTGTCCAAAGTCTCTCTCCAGCTCTCTTAGGACCCCTTTGGGCACTGGAAGGAACTGTAATGTCTCCCTGGAGCCTTCTGTTCTCCAGGCTGAACACCCCAAACTCTCCCAGCCTGTCTCCATAGTAGAGGTTCTCCAGCCCTGTGACCGACTTAGTGGCCTCCTCCAGACTCGCTCCAACAGATCCATAGGTCCATAGGATAGCAAGGTGGCTGACAGGGAATATTATTTCAGTGTTTCCCAGAGCACAAGAGCTACGGATACACAAGGAAGCAGGGGATGTCCCTTCTAAAACAAGGAGATAGTTACAAACTGTATTTTAAATTCTGAAACTCCCTCCCATGGGATATTCTGGAGGTCAGATAAGAAATGAGGTTTTTAAAGGATGAGGTTTGTGAAGGACAGGCCTATTTGTAACTTAAGTTGAGTAGTTTTAAGACAGCCTGCAGCATGAGAAGTCTTCAGTGTCTGGTTCTGAGTGTGCCCTCTCATGCTCAGCTCTGCTTTCAGGTTCCTAAATCAGATTAAAATGATGCAATAGTCCTTGGAGTGTGGAGCTGATAGAAAAAGGCTTCTACTGGAAAACTTTTCTTCTACTGGAAAATATTTTTTTGGGGTGGCAAATAAACAAATATTACAAAAGAAGTCAACAATGAAGATTTTAGGAATTCCTTGTGTGTTAGTTATTGAAGCGTTTCCGTCTTAAAAAAAAAGTGTCAGTGTTGGATGCCCAGCAGCACGTCCTGTTGGGCTTCCCCAATGCTGGCGTGACGGCTGATATCAGGGACTTGCTACAGTATGCTGTCATACTTGCAAATGGTCACATTATCACAAAACTTCCTCGGTTTCTTCCAATCTCCTGATCCCAGTGAACCCTAAATCATTAATGGCATACAGACTGATTTTATGCACGTGTCTTACAGAAGTCCCTCTCTTTCTTGGTTGCCTTTATTAGGGCTCAGCCACTGCTTGGCTCTTTGGGTTGGTTAATCTCACTCTCAGTGAAACTCTACTTAAAGCTGCCTTTCTTCAGCAGACTTTTATCCTCCCATAACTCCACTCCCAGGACTTTCCTCTGCTTTGGCCTTGTCATCCATGGTATGCCCACAGCTCACCCTCCTTGTTCCATCAGCTCCACTCCTCCTGCTGTCTCAGCTGGCTGGTCACCAGTGGGGCGTCCTACCAGTCTCAAGCTTTGATTAGTGTGGCATTTTTCTCTAGGCAATTGTGCAGCACCTAAAGGATTGCAGCAAAACTGTAGTACTTAGGGAAATGTTCTCTGAGAATTTGTTTGTTGGGAAGGGGGTAGGAAATGAAATACTGAAATATGAACATAGGAGAGAGAAAAGAGGCAGCAGAGAGAAAACTCTGTTGGTCCTTGTAGCAACACTGAAGTCAGTGGAGCAAAGGGTCTACTGGGCTGTGTAGGAAACAAATGGTGAAGGATGGGGTGTATGATGGTAATCTATGGGACAAGTTGCTGGTTTACCCTGTTCTACAGCAGATCCATGCAGACTGGCTGTATTTTTCTGAGTACAAATCAGGGTCGAACTTGGCAGTCGTTAAAGGTCATTTAGGGCTGCGTTCTCCCTGGAAGGAGCAGCAGTGTCCCCCCTCTGCCCCAGCAGTTCCCCTGGGCTGGCTCCAAGATCCCTTCTTTCTGCAAGCTGAGCCCTCGGGGCTGACACTTGCCCAGTGACATTACCAGCTATGAAGGGTCATGGGCAGAAAGGACAGCAGTGCTGCTGCTTTGCCCCCCACATCATTTTATGCTAGCTAAAAATAACTGTGAACTTCCCTGTTTAATTAAAAAAAAAAAAAAAAAAAGGAAAGGAATAGGAGGAGGGGGAAAGAGAAAGTGTTGGGCTACTCCTTTCAGAGGGACTGAGGTGCTGTGGCCATCAGCTGGTCTCATAGGAGGGTTCCTCAGGCCCCACTGCTGGGCAGCTGCTGCTGGGAACCACGTCTTTCTGGGTTTAGTCCCCATAGCTTTTTGTTGAACCTCCTTTTATTTCTTTCAGGCAGATAAGAAGGACTCACAAGGGAACAATACGGTGTCGGGATTTGAAATTCTTCTTCAAAAGCAACTTAAAGGGAAACAAATGCAGAAAGAAATGGCAGAGTTTGTTCGAGAAAGGTAACTAGCACTTTGTTACCAATTATTTATGGCAGTTGTTTTTTCCTGATTTAGATATTCCTTCAGTACATTAATGATATCGCTTGAACTGCATAAAAGGTATGCTACCAATTCTTATTGAACATTTAATACTTCTTTAATGTCTATCCACACTCTCCAGCCTTCCCCAGCTCTCACTTGTCTCTCCTGCTCTGTCTGTCTCAGTTGTATTGCACACAGGCTGTCTGTTTAGAGGGAACCGAGGTTTTAAGCTGCAGCTTCAAGGAAAAAACATGAACATGGAAGAACCAGAGTGGTCATGATATTTAGAAGGGAAGTATTTTGTCTGAAAAATAGAGAAACAATTTGTTCACGTGGAGCATAGACACAGTTTCCTAGAGGAAGATGTAAAAAGACATCACCTGGGACTTAAGCTAGTTGCAGAATCACAGAATGGTTTGGGTTGGAAGGGACCTTCAAGATCATCTTGTTCCAGGCCCTCTGCTCCTCTGGACAGCCTGTGTCAGGGCCTCACCACCCTCACAGCCATGAATTTTTTTCTAACATCTAATCTAATCCTGCCCGCCCTTCTCCTGTCACTCCAGACCCTTGTCCAAAGACCCTCTCAAGATCTCTTGGAGCCCCTTTAGGCACTGGAAGGGGCTCTAAGGTGTTCCTGAAGCCTTCGCTTTTCCAGTCTGTCTCTCAGCCTGTCTCCAGAGCAGAGGTGCTCCAGCCCTGTGATCAACTTAGTGGCCTCCTCTGGACTCACTAAAACAGATCCACTTAGATTGAACCCACAATCATAAAGACAGATGTTGCTACCAGAAGATGCTGGAGTGCTGTTAATGGGCTGTTGCTCTGCTGACATGGGAATTGCACTGAACACCAAACAAGCATAGATGCTCAGTTCAAAGACGTACAGCAGGTGATGTGACATCATTACTCATAAATATAGTCACTGTTATTTGAAATGGTTTGTCATTTGTTCAAGCCAGTGTAAGTCATCTTGAGAATGACTTTTCAAAACCTGAGAACACTCCATAGGGAACAAACAGTGTTTGCTCTCTGGAGGAGGGCATTGACGCTGATGGATGTTCTCTCCTGGAGGCAGTTGCACCAGTTGAAGGAGCTGCTGTCCTCTGTTATTGTCTCTCTGTTGACACTTGGTGCTGAGTTGGTGTTGCCTTCCCACTCTGCTGCTGCAGACATGGTGTGAGAGTGCTGATGAGAATAAACACTGGTGCAAGAACAGAACTAGGCCACAAAACAGGCCCCTCTGTTGGCGTTTGGTGTGCAGTTCGATTGGGAAGAACTTGCACATAGTTGCTTCATTTGTGGTTTGTTTTCTTTCTCCCTCATGTCTTTTTTTTCATACTAGGGATATGGCAGCAGTGGGAAAATGGAAAGTAGCACAGGCAATAAAGGTGGTCACATACACGGCTGAGCATTCATGTGTGGTTTCTGCAGCCTTTGACGTAAGACAGTCCGAAAGACAGTTACCTCTGTAATCCATGAGAAAGTGTGACCAGAGGTAGAAGAAAGAACTACCTGGCACATTAAAAATACAATTGAGAAATAGGCTTGCTAAGGGAGAAGATGAGAAGGCAAGCAGAATTATGATAGCTGCAGCCAGGGAAAATAGGGGGAAAGCTGCTCCAGAGAAAGTAATATATAATGAAATTTGACAGAAATAAAAGCAAAGCGCATTCAAGAGGAAGGAAAGTTGGTGTAAAGTTAGAGAGAGCAAGGAGAGCAGCTCTGACTCTGGGGAGGGGCATGTCTGTGTCCTTGACAGACATGTTAGAGAGGAGAGACAGAAAAGATTCACTATGTGCTGGAAACAAAGAAGGTTTGGAATTGAGTGTGAAGAGGGTCTAGATGGGAGTTATAGAAAGATGAATATATTTTTCATCTGTTTGAAACAAAGGATCAGGATTGTTCTGTGTGGAAAAGGAGGAGGAGGATGCTGTTGAGCTGGAGTGGTTAGTCATGGAAATAGAGCTCAGGCCATCTGTATCTCCAGCTAAGAGGGCAGAACTATTGATAAGATTTTCATGATGACCACCAGGTGCCTTGGGGAATACAAGACCCACATTTAAACTAGGGGTTTTCCTGACCAGAAAAATTCTCTTCATCTGTACAATCAACCTGCTGGAGATGAGATTCAGCCAGCTAATAAAAACAGCCCTTCAATGGGAAGCTGGAATACGACTTGATAACCAGATTTCTTCATCAAATATACAACAAGAGGCAAGCTAACTGAAATTTAGTTTATCAAATAGATGCTTTACAGGAGCTTCTTGTAAATAGCAATCATAGACTGAGCAATTATATGTTCATTCAGTTCTTGTTGACAAAGTTAGGGTTATAATACAGACTTTGAATTTTAATGACAGACCACAAGAAAGAGAGGAAAGTAATTAATAAATTGACTGAACTAAAAGATCAAGAGTGTGGGTATAAAAGAAGGAAAGAATTACTTAAATCTAAAGTGAAAATAAGGTCCAGTATTTGCATGCAAGGAAGCACTCCAAAACAGCGAAGAAAATCTGCAGACTGCCCTGAGAAGCAACAGTCTCTCCAAGTATAAGAAGTAGTGGTTTTATTAGCAAAGAATCACTGTCTTAGGCTTTTGGCCACTCAGTTTTAATTATGCTGTGCTATGTTTAGAAAATGCAAAATAAATAGCAGATTATTTAGCTTCTGCCATGTTCAGCAGATACTTGTATACATCTTTCACTGTTTGTCTGCAATAATTTGTGGAATACTTCTGCAGGCTATGCACTACAGGAAAAGTAATTATGCTTCTGTTGTCTGAAAATTTCATTGTTCCCTTCTAATCTGGAGAAATAGTGTAAAAAGACTCATCATCACAGTCTTCCCACAGTGGCAGTTGTGTAGCTGTCTGTCATATATCCTCTACCACCTTTTCTCCCTGTTCCCCCTGTTGTCTTAATTTATTTAGTTTCTTCTTGCATGGCAGTCACATCAGATCATCTTTGCCTCCCTTTGTAGTTCTCTCATTTTTCTTTATCCATTATAACATGGCATGACTGAAATTGTTTGAGTGGGGGAAAACAAAGCACTTTATTTTAAAAAAAAGCATAAGAGAACAGAAAATAAACATCCAAATAGCAACTAGAACTAATAAAGTAAGAACAGTATGGGTCAAAATGCATTTATAACCTGTAACGATTCTGACTATACAGGGAGTGCAATTCTGAAGGTTTTCAAACAAGTTAGTGGAAACAAGAACTTGGAGCTTTTTTGGTGGGAAGGTGGGATAACTGCCAAACAGCCACATGAGTTTCTGGAGGTGGGCTCACAGGACTCAGGAGTCATGGCATGTTGGTGTTTCACAGTCACCACAATCCAGAGTTTGCAGAATATTTATATTGGGCAGGGCCAAGAGGAAGATTTTTTTTCCCTCTTTGAGGTTTATCATGGTTTTTAGCCTCTTCTGGCCACAGATGGTGACAGGACTCCAGGCTGGGGTAGAATAATTTATGTCTTATAATTGGGGCTCTTAAGCAATAGACAATTCACCTTTTTATTGTTATTTTTTATTGTTATTTCTCCTTGCCAGGCAGTCTACCCTTGTAGTAGTGCCATCCACTTGCAGTACAAGTAACACTTGAAATCCCTAGAAAAACTTGAAGCCTGGGCCAAGGCCGGGACCAGTGAGGAGCATATTTAGAGTGTGTCAGGTGAAATGTGTCTGGATAAAGCTCTTTCCATAGGTCCTAACCCACTGTAGCCTTGGGTAGTAGACAGTTTGTTGGTCTTGTTAGAGCAGGCATGGGGAGCTGGTTGGTTTTGTCCTCATGGGAGGGGGAAGAAGAGGACCCCCAGCTCCTGAGTAAGGTCTGTAGTTGTACTGTGCCATACCAAGCTCAGTATCATCTTGGGCCTCAGCCAGCTGCGTCCCCCAGAGTGCCTGCCCAGTCAGCTGCTTTGCTGTGGAGCTGGAAGCTGCAGGACACATACCTGCTCCCTCTCCTGAACATCTGTGAGCATAACAACAGAGTGGCACTTTCACTCCCACACCATCCACCAGAATATTTCAGCAGCCCACAATATCAGATCCCTCTTAGGTATCTCGGGGGACCCCTTTTATCTCAAATGTGCTCCGCAAAAGAGCACTTGCTCAACTAGTTACTGCAAACAGACATGCCAAAAATATCTCACTGGACAGAAATGAATTTCAAGCCAGGTTTTGCCCCTGTTTGTACATAATTGGCATATAATCAGGAGTTGTTCCACCTAGGGGCCACACAGCTCTCTCAAAATGCTATATTGAACAAGCTGGGTCAAAAACCAGTGAACAGACAAATGTTTGCTTTGCCTGGGAGCATGTGTGCCTTGCAACTGTTTCACTGTAAGAAGAACTCAGAGGAGATGAACATGGTTTCAGACACGATGCACATCATCTCTGGACCAGCAGCTACTCTTTTCACCCTGCTGGGCCATCAGCATATACCCTTGTCCCCGCACTCCACAGCTGCACTCATTCTCTCTGCAGCCACTCCCACAGTGGCTGTGTGTCAATACCTTTCCTCTTCTGCACCCTTGCCACTGGCGAGCTCACGTCCTGTTCCTGGTGTGGTGCCTCTGAGTGAGTGGAGACAAGGACAGGGCAGTGAGTGGAATGGATGAGGGGAAGGGGCTGTACCACCACGTGCTGATGACAGAAGACCCTGCCACATCTTCTCCAGCTTTGTCACCTGTAACAGAGCAAGGAAGCATTTTGTGTCCCTAAGAAAGGCACGATCCAGCACCCCAAACCTCTTTTGGATTTTTCCTGGATCACTGCATTCCTTCATCTTTTCTTCAAGGATGTGCAGCCTCACGTTTCACAGCAGACTGAACCACATGCTTCTGGTTCTGCAGACAGTCCATGTTCCACAGCAGAAACACTCTGTCCTTGTTATTTGCTCTCCAGAACTGTAGCTGCTTATTCTAATTTTATCGCATATGCTGTCCTGCATATAGCCCTGCTCTTGCCACTGCATTTTAGCATATGGAGGAGAGAAGACAGATGCCAAGCCCTGGAGACTGAAAGAAAAATTCCTATGGCAAAATCTGTTAAAATGCAGAGAATTTCTTCAAATTATGTGTGTGGGTTTCTGCCTTAAAGCTTACTTGCTTCTGTCTTTTTATTTTCTCTCTGTGTGTATGTGAGTGTAGGATAAAGATTGAGGAGGAATATGCTAAGAACCTGTCCAAACTGTCTCAGAATTCCTTGGCTGCTCAGGAAGAAGGGTAAGTGTGTCTCTGTGACTTTCACAGATGAATTTTAACATAAAAGGCATTTCTCCCACGCAGGTACATATAATTTCCCCCAGCTCTCTCACCGAGTAGAGGTTTATTTAGATTAGCACCCCGGATGTGTTGGGGAAGGTGGAATTGCTTCAGAATTGGTTTTATTATTTCAAGTTGTTAATGATAAATTTTTTAGGAGTATATGTATGAAACATTGCATTTCCAATCGTATTTATGCTGTCCTTGTTGTAGCCAGGACTAGGTCCTTTCAGGATTGGCATGTGTACATGCTAAATTACTTAGAAAATGGAAGAATATGTAGAATACATATACTGCTGAGAGTAGATCTGTAAGGTCAGTGCCAGTACAATCAAGCAGCACAGACAGAGGAAGGACAGAAAGTCTCTTCTCATTGGAGGTCTGACCCTTCAAGAAAAGCAGCAGATTGTCCCTTATTTACAACATTTTCACACTTTGGAAGTTCTTAAGAAGGTATTAGGCAATGCAATTCAGCCTAGATTGCAGTTCTCAGTAATAATGAAAAGACACTTCTGAAGGATCAGAGACTGTTAGCTCTATCTGTTCCAACACAAACCCTGTAAGCACTGAAAGCCAAGGCTGGAAATTACTGTCCTCACCATAGCTTTGACACAGTGTGTTTCTGCTGGCACTGAAGCTCCACAAGGTATTTGCTCAGCTTCCAGGATACAAGGACAGAAATTGCTAAAGGCTAACTAGACTGTTACTGCTCTAAGCACCTACAGTGACAATGGTTTCTGTCCTTCTTTCCCCTTAGGGGTGGATGCTCACTTGATCCGAGCAAAGCTAAAACCACTTTCTTTCACATCTTCCTCTTACTTTCTCCTAGCACTAATAGGAGAAGAAGGGAATGCCTGAAAAAATTAAGGGGAAGGAAACTAGGTGAGAACAGATGAAAAGAGAGCAAATGAGGACCAAATCATAAGAAATGTTGAAGTAGGGAATTGGAGAGGACACTGTGCAGAGTGCAGGGTGCTGAGAGCACTGTCCAGTCGTGCTCTGCCTGGAGGGGTTGTAAGGTGATAGAATGGAAGGAGGTTGTGCTGAAATTTCTCCTCCTGGCCAAACTGGCTAGGACCAGGAAGAGGCTAGTGAGAAGATTGTGGGAATTGATGAGGCCCAGGAAATGGAAAAGTTCCACTTAAAAAATTGAGGGAGGGAGGATTTGAAGGAGCCAAAAGTGAGACTGCAGCCTTGTATACTCAGTAAACATTCACCAAAGTCTTCTCATTCACAAGAAGGTATGAGTCGGGGGACCCCATGCGCTGCTCTGTGCAAGCAGCAGTTACCACTGCTGGTTTCACACTTCACTGAGCATTTTCCAGCTTTTCTGTGCAGCAGTCTGTGGAATTGACACAAAGTATGGGCTGTCCCTCCAGGGTCCTCTGCCCTCCTCTGATGATAAGCAGACTCTCCATCATGTATGTGATGGGTGACAAGATGGGACCCATTGGTGGTACTGGAATGGTTCTGTCTGGGTTGCTGTGAGCACAGTGCACAGGAGGTGATACAATCCATGGTCATTGAAGTCACTGGAGCTGGACAGGAGATGTAGAAGACACTCATCAGGCTGAAATACCACCTTTTCTTAAATAGATCAGATAAAATGGTTATTGTCAGTGATAACTGGGCAGTGGGAGGAGATCTCAGGGTGGGTCTAGGGGAAATGTTGGGAGCACTTCTGTAGGTGAATCTAAGTTGTTTAGCTAATGAACACCATACTTGAGAACTCAACTCCTTGGAGCAATTTCAGAGATGACAGACCATTATTTTGAAATTGCACATGACAGGCAGTTTTTCAGGCTATCAAGAAGGGTCAGATATCATTGTTGTTTAAAGGGGTGTGGGGAGGAGATAAAAGGAGCCAGGAATTGTAGATCACTCAGCTTTATTTAACCTTTGCAAAGTGGTAGAATAAACCGTCAAACTTCCTAGAAGCACTTACTGGAAAACTAAGGTGATGAGCAGTTGTTGTAGATGCATACAGAACAATGCCAAACCAACCTAAATTCCTTCAGTGATGGAATAAAAGAGTAACTCAAGCATCACAGCCCTTAATTTAGTGTAAATTTTTGCAGTGGGAGATTCTTGTAGGCAGACGAGAAATGGTGGCCTAAATAAAGCCTAGTAAAAAAACCTAGGTAAGAAATATCCACTATTTACAAAAAGTAAAGTAGAGAAAGTAGCTATGGGCTGAGATCAAATAAGGTTTGTCCCAAGTCTAGGGGTTTTTTTCAATGTTTTTGTTAATGAATGGCCTATGGTGGAATAAATAATGGCTTGACTGTAATCAGAGATGAGACAAAGCTAGGAGGGTTAGTATGTATAGTTCGAAGAAAAGATTGCAACTCAGAATTATTTTGTTAAACTGGAGTAAATAACTGGAAAAAAAAATAATGCATTTTAATGAGGATAAAGCACCAGGTTTTATACTTTCACAGGATGTGAAAGATACAGTTACATAACAGTCTGTGGGAGAAGGGTCTGGCTATAGTGAATCACAAGCTTATTCATCAACAACTTCATGCTGTTGTCTAAAAAAAGCAATCATATTGAGATATGTAGAAGAAAGAGTGTCTGATACAAAATAACCTGTTACCAGTTTAGCAACCGGAAGACCTGTACTGGAAGACAGCGTAGTTTTGGTAATGATGCTTTAAGAGGAGTCTAGGCTGTTGTAGAGGGTTTGAAGGAGTGTACCTCAAATGCCATCATCTCGGAAATAATCTGTCCAAAAGAAAAAGACAATTCAGAATTTTTCAAATACTGAAAAGCTTTTCTGAGGAGGAGTAGAATAATCTGTTCATCAAAAGTAGGGTGTAAAGTAGAAGAGGCAATGGACAAACGGCATTGGTGAAAACTTTGTTATGGTAAGGATAAGATACTGAAGGATCTTGCTTGTGGAGGCTGTGGCATCTGTGTAACTGGAGATCGTTATGAACAGTGTTTTCAAAAATCTGCTACATACAATGCCAATACAGTTCTGCCTTGGTCACAAGGGTTGGTTGTCTTCTCAGGTTTCTGTTATCCCTTTTCCATGATTTTGCTCAGCAAGACATAGTACAAAGCGTTGTGTCAGATCTGTCTGACAGATCTCATGGGAAGGATGGGTAAGAGACAGGGCATTGATTGCTGTCCCTCTGTTCTTCCAGCACACTGGGAGAGGCTTGGGCTCAGCTCAAGAAGAGTCTAGCTGATGAAGCAGAAGTTCATCTCAAATTTTCTTCTAAGGTAAGTAATTCTTTCTTTTCCAAAGATTTTTGCCCTGAATTGATATGGATCTCCCTTCAGTATATGTAGTGGGGGAAATACATTTGCATATGCATACACCATGCATATGGTACAAATTTAGAAGAATTAATAAGTTGGCGAACAATCTTACTGAAACTCTGTCTATTATTGCTCCCCAAATCAGTGTATTTAATCTATCTGATGAGAAAATTAAAACACATCTGACCTTAATTTTTCATAAAAAAAGGAGAAAAACTGATTCTAAAGGTTGTTCACCGGAGCTCTAAGTTCTCTAAGAGAACCAGAACTCTGACTTCTTTGTATCGTTAGCCTTTCTGAAAAGCACACTGGGAATGTCATGTTATTTTTGGGTTTTCTCTCAAGTGATGCCCAAGGAGATTTCTTTTACAAATTATGGTATTTATCTGGGTTTTTTCCATCACATGTGACACGCTCTTGAATCCTGTTACATTATGTTAACCTCTGTGGGTGGTCAAGTTCAATACAGTGGCAGATATCTCAGCACAACAGCCATGTTCTGGAGGAAAATTATAGCTCTGCACTGTTCATAAGTGATTCTACAGAGGTTACTCAGGCAACTAGCTGCTGCCTTGGTAACCTGCTGCTGTGCCTCAAACTTCGACATCAGGGCTGTAATTAGTGAAATACTTTTTGCTCCCCATTGTCCTTCTGTATTGTTTTCCAAGAGGAAGAAATGCACCCTGGTGTGGTGTTTACATGTGGGCAGACCATGTAGAGGAGCTGTTTCATTATTTTACTTTTGTTTAAGCCTTGCACAGAAATTCCAATAGCATCCTCTAAACCCTCCCCACCGTTTGTGTGCAAAAAACATGTGGATGTGGCACGTGGTTTAGTGTTGGACCTGGCAGTGCTGGGTTAATGGTTGGTCTTGATGATCTTGGAGGTTTTGTCCAACCTTAGCAATCCTATCATTCTATATTCCCATACCTGTTTGGGAGTTCCTAGCTTTGGCTTCCTTTTATTAACATAATATGTTTTTAAACATATTGATTTTTGGTCTTACTTTCAGAGGAGCTATTCTTAGAAGTAGTAATTCTGTTTCACATTGATAGTTGACCAAACCCAGTCAGTGCTGGCACAAGCAGGCAGTGCAATGCAGAGCACACCGAGAGTATTCAGGCACAAACACCAGCCTTGAAGACACTGAACAGCCTCTGTGACAGTCCTTCATACCACTGCTACATGGAGAGTCAGGAACAGAGCAGAGAAGGTGACAGCACTCTCACAGTACTTGGAACATAAAATATTATTGCACTACTGCTGCCTGTACAGCCTGGCATGCCAGCTATAAATACAGCCACACGAGGAGACCTTCAAGAAGGCTGTCATGGCAATGACCGCTTCAGGTCTTTATTTTTTTGCCTGGGGCCATGCTGATGATACTGTCAGAAAAACCTTGTCCAGAATTTTCTAGTCCAGCACTCCCAGTCAGAGCAGGACTATCACCCACAGTGGATCAAGTCAGCTACATCTCTGTCTACCTCAGATTTGAGTATCTCTAAGGACAGAGATTTCATAATCTCTCTGGTCAGCGTTCTCCAGTGCCCAGCCACCATTCTGGTGATGTTTTTTGGTTTTTTTTAAATTGTATTCTTCCTGCACATCCCAAAGCTCAATTTTCTGTTGTGACTTTGCCTGGCCCTATGAAGAAGAATTTGGCTCAGTAACCCTTGTATCTGACCTTCAGGTAGCTGTAGACCATATTAGATCACCAAGGTGCCAGTCTTCATCTGCCTAAACAGACTCCACTTGTTTAACCTTTCTAGAATGTGTGCTGTAATGTCTTGGCTGACTTTGTAGCCTCCGTCCAATAAAAGACTGTACTGAACTGTGACAGGAGATGAAATGTCTGAATCCCTCCAGAGCACGTTTTCTAGCTGTCAAAACTGTGTATCAGAAGGCCAAAGAGGAACATGATGCAAACTCTATCAGAGCTGGGTATTACTGGCTGTCAAGATAAGTCATGTGTCTGGTCTTGATGCAGTTCATTCCAGTGGTTTCTTGCCACTACTTAAAAAGCTTCAACTAAATAATCAGGCTTTTCTTTAGGCTCCCTTATACTTGACAGAAATAAATAAAATGTGGCCTTCTTGGATCTCACTTCACCATACGAGAAATGCAGGTGTGGCACTGCTGCCCATGGACTTGCCTCACTGCAGCCAGGGTTAGTGGCTTTAGTTCAGGTACATTGGGTTTTTTAAAGCAAGTTATATCAGTTAGGCCAGAATCGAAGCACCTAAAGCAGTGCTCTGGATATTGCCTGTTGTTTGATGTTCTGTGTAAAAATCTGTTGGAGAGGGGGCAAGACAAAATTTCTGTCCTTTTGCTCCCTTCAGTTAATATTCCCTTAACAGAGGTCTCCTAAAAAGGGATGAGTTTTGTAGTAGCTTAATTCAGAGCACTCTTGGGGAAGAGGAGTGTTACTGTCTGTCATTGCCTTTAGCTGCAGAGTGTGTATTGTTTCCTCTTTGTCTTGGGCTCTGCTCATCAGAAGGAAATGGCCTCAAGTTGTACCAGGGGAGGTTAAGATTAGATATTAGGGAAAAAAAAATTCACAGAAAGGGTTTTAAAGCATTGCAACAGGCTGCCCAGGGCAGTGGTGGAGTCACTGTCCCTGGAAGTTTTCAAAAATCATGTGGATATGGCACTTGAGGATATGGTTTAGGGGTGAACATGGTGGTTCATAGTTGGACTTGATGATCTTGAAGGTATTTTCCAACCTTAACAATTCTGTGATTCTGTGAAGAGCCAGGACTTACTGCCCAGCTCCTCATTACTCCCATTTCTTCCTTTATTTTCATTACCAGCTTCAAAGTGAGGTAGAGAAACCCCTGCTCAACTTCAGAGAGAACTTTAAGAAAGACATGAAGAAGTGTGATCACCACATTGCAGACTTACGGAAGCACCTGTCCAGCCGCTACACAGCAGTTGAAAAGGTGGGAGCAGGGAACAAACTGGAGGGTTTCTGAGATACTGCTGGTTTGGGCAGAAAAGCAGCTGCCCATGAAAAGTTTCTGTTCTGCCGCAAAGAACCACAGCTGTTCCTGCTGTTAGCTGTGCTTTGCTGGGCCCCAGACGTAGTTCACTGCTTAGCTGAGATCTGGGAAATGGGGGGCTACAGCAGGGCTACCATCTTACTGCTGAACTGGCTTTTTGTTTCATCCTCCCCTTTCCAATTTGGGACGATATATTTCTAATACATTTGATGCAAATACTTCTTGTTTGTGTACATCTGGAAGTCACATCTATTGCCCTCGAAATTTAAAATACCTTGCCTTAGAATGGCAGCAGAGTCAGGCAAAATGCTCACCTGGCTCGACATCCTCTCATGCAGTGGCTAAAAGCAGATGACTGGTGAAGGCAGCTCGAACCCTGCCCAGCAAATCACAAATCCTTCACAGGAAACATCCTCACCCGGAAAATCCAAACAGCAGCAGCACACAGTAATAGGCTGCATAATGTAGCAACATGAACCAGGAGGTGGCTGAGGTTGTGGTGTAGGGAATTTGACCCACAAAAGATCTCTCAGCAGCAGCTGGCGGGAATTGGGATGCTTCTTCCTCGGCTGCCAAATTGTATCCTCATGTGGTTTGCTCTTGGGTGTAAGTTGGAAAGGAACATACCGTTCTCAGTCAAACCAAAGGTTGCTTGTGCTTTCATTAAAGATCAGCAGGAGTTCGCCCAGGGACAGAATTGTTGCAGGATACACAAGGTCATTAGGCTGTGTGTATGCAGGGAAGACATTTTTCTGTGAAAGAGTAAGTTCTTCACACTCATATGTGCAAAGAAGCTCAGTAGTGACACTGGGAAGAGTGAATTAGAGTAGCCTTGAGGAGAAAGAATTAGAGCAGGGAGGAGCCATGCCTGCAGTGCATGAGAAGAGCTCAGCCCCACACCAATTGCTGTCCTGCAGCTCCCTCTCCCTGCAGAACTGCAAATGGAAAAAAATCCAGTAATGCCTTAAGAGGCTTGTAATGTTTATCAGCCTGAAGAACTTTTAAGTAAGGTAATTCAAGTAATCAGTTGTAACTAGACCTCAGGGTCTTGATTTCTACAGCATGAACTGTTGGCCTGAACCTGAATAAGTTTTTCTAAATAAGTTCCTATTGTTAGAGGTTCTGATAGATGTATAATGAATCCAGAACTTGCTTAAAGACTAATTTTGTAAGATACTTGAAATTATTTCAACAATTCAGGTCCTAAGAAAAGTGAATGGAAGAGGTGTCTCGGTGATGATGCTGTTTAAGACATTGGGAAGAAGCTCCAGGTCTCCTTTCTTCCAGAAATAGTGAGAAAGCTGTTAGGAAACATGAGAGTCTGATGATGCCATTTGTCCTGTACCTTTCTAAGAATCTACAATGAGTTCAGATGCTTCTGTGATTTGTTGGTGCCGACTTCTCTGTGGTCATAGGACACTTCTTTGAGCACCACATGATGCTGTAAGAACCTGAATCCCAGTTAGGATCCAATTTCGGGCAAAGTCACTGACAAATACTTGTGTGAAGGAGTCCTAGATAGCTGAAAGCAGCTGGCAGTTCTTTTCCTTTAAAACACGTGGCTCTTCTTTAATTACTCCAAGGCCCGGAAAGCCTTGACAGAGAGACAGAAGGATCTGGAAATGAAAACACAGCAGCTAGAGGTGAAGCTCAGCAACAAGACAGAAGAAGAAATCAAGAAGGCGAGACGAAAGTCCACTCAGGCAGGTGAGTACCTATGTCCGTCTGCGGTGGGAATGAGCATGGCCCCATGAGAACAAGATGGGATGCAACTGCCCATCCCTCCACGTGGTTCTTGTTTTTTAATATTGTAGCTACAAAGGCAAAGTGAACCATGCTACAAATCTGTGATATTAAATCCTCTGAAGAAACAAGCCTAGTTTTTCCAACTCACATGTCACAAATTGTTGATAACTGGGGTGAGAACAGTAAAAGCAGGATGAGTTTTCCTTCTGTTTTGTGAAAGTTCCTTAGATTACGGAATGTTTGTGTAACTTTCCAAGTCAGATTCAGAGCTCAGCTGAGGATGTTTCTTCCTTAAATCATAGTTTGTTCCTTGGTTCTTTCCTAAATCACAGTCACCCACAACTATGTGAGTGCCTATTATACTTGCCATTGCCATCTTTTTCCTTGAAAGTGAATTTTTTGTCTTTTTTTCCACTGCTACTCAGTGATTAAAATAATTTCTGTTGTAGGAATACTGAGGAGATAGTAGTGTGTGCTGTGTTGCACTGAGGACACAGCTACTTGCTGTGACCCATGCATATTTTACAGAGGCTCAAGACACATCTGCATGATCCTTTTTGAGATCTGCAAAGCTGATACGTGCAGCTCCATTAGTACCTTTGCTGAAAATAGGTTTTAACTAGGGCTTCCATGTTTCATCCCTTCATAGAGCTATTCCTTGGTAGAGTGGTCCTTCAGAGTTCTGAGGTTTTTAAAACTTCAGGATAGCATGTCTGGGTTTTGAGGAGAGTCACTGGCAGTGTGACCATGTGTATAGGCAGTCATTTGAGGAGAAATAAAAGTTACGAGTTCATGACAGGAGGCTCCGTGAGAGATGTTCTTTATTCACCTGCAAATTCACAGACACTGTGTTCCTTGCATCCTTAGAAATTGGTTATAATGGATACTTATTGAACAAGCAAGAGAGAGCTGAAGATCAAAGTTTGCTGTGAGTCTTCCCATTGCTGCTCTCCACTTGGTGCCACTGTTCTGGTACATGGCAGATGAGGTCTTGTCCCACCCCCGCAGGTGGTGGTTCCCAGAAGCAGCATGTGGTCATTTGGCTTTGAAAGGAGCCCTGTTGGCAAGTGGGTGATAGGACTAGAGAAAGCTCTAGAGCAGAGCCCTTCTATGATCCCACGGGTTACTGATAGGTGGTGTTCCTTTCTGCTCCCATGGACTGTTCATGTGTTTCATGGCTTTCTTGTTCCTTACTGTTCAGTGGCTCAGATTCATTCGAGCGAGTGGAGGGTAACCCCATGTCAAAGAGCCCCTGAGGAGCCTCCTAGAGTGTGGGAGCCGTTAGTTCAGACTTGTCATAGAATCACAGAATGGTTTGGGTTGGAAGGGACCTTAAAGGTCATCTCATTCCAACCTCTCTACCATGTGCAGGGACACTTTCCACTACACCTAGTCATGTTGGACTTTGCACCCCCTTCCTGGGTGGATGAGCTTATTGCCAAGCTTTGAGCCCTGAATCCTGGCTTCTTCATAGAGTTTGGTTGCCACCCGAAGTTCTAAGCCCAGGAGAAACTTCCAGATGCATTTACATTGTTGCCTCTGATTGGTCTATGGAGTCCTGTTCTTAAAGCTTGGTTCGTCCTCAGTTTATGTATAAAGACCATTTTGCACCTAAAATAGTAAGATGTATTTGAGCCCTGGACATAGACGTCAAACCATTAGGGAAAGCGAAACTGAACCTCATTTAAAGAACTAAGAGAATTTCCTAGCTGAAAAGCAGCAATCTCTGAGACATGCCTTCCAGATTTTCCACCCACCTTTCCCTCTGTCAGAGCAGAGTCCTGCAACAAAGAAAAAAATGGAAAGAACAACAACTTCTTGTGTTACTGCCCTGAACGCAGGAGGCAGCCAAAGCTCGGCTGGAATCGGGCATCTGCAGAGGCTGGAGAATGCATGAGGCTGCAAATAAGCATCACTTCATCTAACAGCTGGAGCCTGATGCATTGCTTCCCTTTGAAACAGAGACCTCTTAGAATACAGTCTAACCTACAGAGTGCTACCCTTCAGCTCCATAACTCATGTTATTATTGATTTCCCATTTTAATTACTTTATTTTTCAGATATAACTTTCTGTCTGTGACTTTTTTTTTTTTAACTGAAGTAACTTGCTTTCCTATTTCTGGGCATTCTGTAAAATACTACTTAATGCTCATATTTGTTTGTCTTTCCCCCTCATTCTTTCTCACCCCAGTCACCTGCTTTTTTGCTTCACATCAAGCGCATGCAAGTTGAAATTCTGGTGCATGTAACAAATGTCATGTGACAGAACTGCCGTGAGCTCCACCAGGGCTGATCTTCAAACCCTCGGGGTCTGTTCTACAAAACCTGACCTGCAGTTTCCTTCTAAGGTCTGGCTAGAGAAGGCTAACGTGTTGCTATCTTGACTCTTTCAGGAGATGACCTGATGCGCTGTGTGGATCTTTACAATCAAGCCCAGTCAAAGTGGTTTGAGGAGATGGTGACCACCACTCTGGTACATAGCATCTAACACTGTAACATTGCAAAATTGTAATGGCCTACAGCATTCCTCATTCACAGCTAGTTCAGTGCAATGCAGTGGGGAAAACTGGGTGATATCTCTCCCACTGTATTTCCCATTCTCAGTGCTAAGAAAAACTCATTATTAGGGGAAGGAAGAAATAATTGTTTCTTTGCAGAAGGCATTAAACCAGTTCAGGACTGCTTAGGGGCCAGGACACCAGAACTGTCCTCAGGAAGGATGAAGTAATGCACAAGAAAAACATGGAAAAACACATAATAAATCACTGAATTCACTTAATAAATTTTTGTATTCCATGATTTTACAATTTCTTGTGCAGTATTGCCACCTCAGACAAGGCATGCTTGGCTCTCCATTTGGTTATTATTTTGCTTTTTTGAAGGTAACACACTTCACAGACCTTTGTCATAGACCTTTGGGTTTAGGCACCAAGACACAGCTTTGTTGTGCAAGGAGGCAGATATTTTCCCAAAAACAGAAGAAGAGAGAAAAAATTGGCTGTTCCTGTACATAAGGGACCTGATTTCCTCTTTACCTTCACTGGCATTTTCTCACTGATGGAAATGACACTGACCATCTGTGCCACTGTGGCCAGATACGTCATAGAATCAGAGAATGGTTTGGGTTGGAAGGGACCTTAGAGACAATCTCATTCTTACCCCCCTGCCATGTGCAAGGACACCTTCCACTAGACCAGGTAGCTCCAAGCCCCATCCAGCCTGGCCTTGAACACTTCCAGGAATGGGGCAGCCACAGCTTCTCTGGGCAACCTGTGCCAGGGCCTCATCACCCTCACAGGGAAGAATTTCTTCCTAATGTCTAACCTAACCCTCCTTCAGCTTAAAGCCACCCCCTCTTGTTCTGTCACTCCAGGCCCTTGTCCAAAGTCCCTCTCCAGCTCTCCTGGAGCCCTTTTGGGCACTGGAAGTGGCTCTAAGGTCTCCCTGAAGCCTTCTCTTCTCCAGGTGAACAGCCCCAGCTCTCTCAGCCTAACTTACTACAAGCTACCAGAGGAGGCATCTTCATGGCCTCCTCTGGACTCAGTCCAGCAGCTCCACATCCTTCTTGTGCTGCGGCCCCCTGACCTGTGTGCAGTGCTCCAGGTGGGGTCTCACTAGAGCAGAGCAGAATGGGAGGATCACCTCCCTCCACTGTATATGTGAGCTCCGTATTTGCTCCCAGAGAAGGCACAACTTGCAGGTGCACTAGTAGATGGCTCAGGTGGGCAGCCATAGCCTGCAGCTGCACAGCAGGTTTGTCATTTGTGGAACTCAGGCTGACAAGCATTCGAAGGCAACTCTTGATACACATGAATATAAAATCTATATTGAAAACAGTCTTTGTCTGATCAGCTGAGACACAGATTAGTTCATATGGAATAATACCAAGTTGAGAGTGTCAAGGTCTTAAGATTTCTGCTTCCTCGCTGAAGTTTCTGGTGGAGATACAGTGCATGGTCTGCATATGGCACCAGCATACTGGGTTTGGTGTTATGGTCCTGCATATCTGTGCCCTAAAAAAGGGAGTCTGAGTTTAAAGTGGGCTATTTTTTTTCCATAACAGCAGTACATCAGCTGCAACAGCAATAGGAGCCCATCCATTCCATAAGCTCCTTTGCTCATCTTCGTCCCCAAGCAGATAGTCTGCCACCTGAGATTTTTGCGCTGTAATTGTGCTGGTTTAAGAGTTAACCAGCAGGGGAAATGAACTCAACTCAAAGGAGAGATTATAAGTCAGAATAACAATTTATTAAAATAATACAGTAAGTACAATCATACAAACAAACAATTGGTCTTTACCCACAAAACCCAAATGTATAACCCAGTACCCTGGGGCATGAACAAAGTGGTGTTCCTTGGGCCCCCCTTGAGTCCAAAGTAAAGGGAGAGGGGAAAAACCTGCTGGTGGGAGAGCTATTGCAGTCTGGTTGAGAGCGATAAGCTGCAGTCTTCCTCTGGATCCCACGAGTGGTAGAAAAGTTCTAAAACTCCAGGTTTATATATTCTCCAGTTCAGGCAGGAATGGTCAATCCTCCCCTCAGAGCGGGGAATTCCATATAAAAGGGTATGAGGATGCTCAGAGCAGGAAATTCCATAAAAGGGTATGAGGATGCTCAGTCCATAAAAGGGTATGAGGACAGGAATACCCCCCCCACAGGCAGGCCCCCTCCCCCCCCAACAACAGTTTCTGGGAAATGGCATGGAGGGCCATAGAATACACAGTTTTGGGCTATACCCATCCAGTGATGAATCAGTCCCAGCTGTTCTAACTAGGACAGTAATGAAGAATGTTTCCCAAGTTTAACAAGTTGCAGATAGCACTGGGAAGGCCATGTAGCAGCCTGCCTGCTTGTATGTTTCAGTTGCACTCTGCTGTAATGCTCAGTAAGTGGACACCAGAAATGCCCTCTGAAGGCGGGGTTTGTAGGATTTGGCCCCACAGTGTCCATCCCTAAAGGCAGACTTCCATAGCATCTCCCTTCCGCTGCTGCTGCTTAGATCACAGAATCATAGAACCATAGATAAATAATAATGGCCAGTCTTCGCGAGCGAAGATTTGGGAAAGGTCATTAACCCTTCGAGCCTGCGCAGTGGATTTTTTTTTAGGTGAGACACAGTGTGCGCTGAACTGAGCCCACCCTTTAATCCTGAGGTTCATCTGCCGGGGCCAAGCACGCTTGGACAGTGGCAGTGAGGGTCTCAGAACGTAGGTTTGTTTAGAGTGACCTTCTCTTAGATGGATTGCCAAACAGGGCTGACGAGCTCCATCTGCCCGGGGGGCCGGGAATCGAACCCGGGTCGCAGCGGTGAGAGTCCTGCACCTTAACCACTAGACCACCAGAGGCCCCAAACCATAGATAGAACCATCATAAAACCATAGAATATGCTGAGTTGAAACAGACCTATCAGGATCATCAAGTCCAACTCCTGGCCTTGCATAGGACACCCCAAGAATCCCACCATGTGCCTATCCAAATGCTTCTTGAACTTTGACTGAGTTAGTGCTGTGACCACTTTCCTATGTAGCCTGTTCCAGTGCTCAACCACCCTCTGGGTGAAAAACCTTTTCCTGATATCCAACCTAAACCTCTCCAGACACAGCTCCAGCCATTTCCTTGAGTCTTGTGCTGATCACAAGAGTGAAGAGATCAGTGCCTGCCCCTCTGCTGCCCCTCGTGAGGATGTTGAAGACCACAATGAGGTCTGACCTCAATCTCTTCTCCAGGCTGAACAAACCAAGTGTCCTCAGCCCCTCCCCATACGGCTTCCCCTCAAGGCCCTCTGCCATCTTCTTGGCCCTCCTTTGGATGCTCTCTAATGGCTTAATGTCTTTTTTATGTTGTGGTGCCCAAAACTGCACACAGTACTCAAGGTGAGGCCACACCAGAGGGACTAAATGCAGATTTTGGGATATAATCATAGTATAATCAGAATCCAGAAGAGGGAGGCAAAAAATATCAGAAGATAGAAATCACCTACCTTTCCAACTAAAGTGTTGCTGGGGTCTGCTTACTGCCAGCTGGGCAAGGGAGAAATTTGTCCCAGTTCATCACCTGGTGAACAGATAAAAGTGCTCTGGTTGGACTGGGGGCAGTCTGACCCATACACCCCAATGTGCTTCCTGCTTCCCCAAGGAATCACTGTAACTTTTAGAGCTAGCAACGCAGCATACAGAACCTCTTGCAAGAAACAGATTCCCTCTTGCTTCCCTCTCTGAAGGCAGTGGCTGTGCTCTCTGCCTTGGTTGTCTCAGTTTTTGAGCCTTTTGGAAAGGTTTCGACCTTTATTTACCTGTCATTAGGTTCAGGCTGAGATGACTGCTGTTGCTTGCTGTTTCTGATTCTCTGCAGAGCAGAGGAATGTGCGACCACAGAGTCCAGCTCCAAAGCATGACCCTGGGACAGTATTGAACTCAGTGGCAGCCTTTTGTGTGACATCCTTTCTCCAGGTCTTCAAGCTCAGGTTCAAGTAAAAATATGGACTTGTTTTTCTTCAGGAGCTTGAGAGACTAGAAGTTGAGAGGGTGGAGATGATTCGGCAGCATCTGTGCCAGTACACACAGCTGCGGCATGAGACAGACATGTTCAACCAAAGTGTAAGTCTGCTTTTTGTTCCGTTTCTGTGGTCTTCACTGCCCTTCAGCTGAGCAGGACAGCCCCTCCTGACCTGACTGACCTGTGTCGAAGGACAGGTGAGAAGCATCTGCAGTCAGCTTGTTAGTCTGCAGCAGTACTGTGCTGCCTCCCTGCAGTCCTGCTCCTCCAGGACTCTGATCCTTGTCACAGTTCATACTGCTGGATCACAGCTCTGCTGGGAGAGATACAACTGCTTGAAGTACATTTGGCCAGTATGAGCCATTATTAGCTCTCCCAGCATGAAGCACTGCTGCTTGAGGTCTTCTGTTTGTGCAAGGAGGATGGTAAATAATTTCACTGAGATGGAAGTAGATATATTTTTCTTATTAAAAACTGGCTACTTATCAAATACTAAAATATGGGAAATGCATGCTGACCTCAATACAGTTGTATCTGGTGTAAGGCACAGATTGCAGGACAGGAGTCATAGACCGACTGGCCAATGTCTGGCACAGGAAACCTGTCTCTGCTTGATGTTAAATCTCCTTCTTCTCTGCTTCCCACTACAAGGCTGCACATTCAGATCTGGCTGTTGTCCGCCAAGTCTCGTGTATGTGCAGCTCTCACTTGTCTGTGAATGCAGTGTTGGCATGCCTATAGCTGCTCTACGTGTAAGAGCAATGACTCTGCTTGAAATGTGCCCTTGACATTTGGATTCTTGTTTTCTTCATTTTAGACAGTAGAACTTGTGGATCAGTTGCTTCGGAAAGTGGATCCTGCCAAAGACAGGGAACTGTGGGTAAAAGAACACAAAACTGGAGATATCCGACCCGTGGACATGGAAATATAGACTGATCTATAGTTGTATGTGATGAGTCCACTGAATTAACCAGGCTAATGTTTGTTTTTTAAGGTTCAGAAGAGCATAGGGAAGAGGTTGTTTTACTACCAGACACTTTGTAATTTATGCCTCTATGGGCTATCTCTGTTCCATTTAGTCATTACAATGGTCCTCATTGTGCTAAGCCTTAAGCACCAGACATTCCAGGGTGAAGAAACCAGATGTGTGCTTCCCACCAGAGGTTCCCAATTGCACGCAGCTTCGAGAAGAAATCTGCTTTCTGGTACAGAAAGTGCTCTGTTCTTCAGTGACTTTGTTCTCCACCCCTTGCATGACTATCTTTATACAGTATGTTAGAACAACCATGCAGTGAGCCTCTGGCCAGCGATTAGATAACTGAACATGATGCAGGAGGCAAGGAAGTCCTGATCATGAATCCCAGGTCTATCACTGGCTGCTTTCATGGCCACAGGCAAGTCAACTAACTTTCCTGGCTGCCCTATCTATAAAATACATGTATCTCACAGGAATGTTGTGTGAATACATTGATTTCATCTAACACTGTTTTTCACCATGGCAGTGAAGTGATGGCCCTTCTCCCAAAATCTGTGGAGAAGACTCCTGTTCTTCCTGTTTTATACTCCCTCTCAGGGATACATAAACCCATTATTATGATTTCTGTTGTAGGCCAATCGATAAGGTTGAAAGTGTTACCATCACAATTTTTTTATCAGGAAAGACTTGGTTGTGCTATACCTACCTCATTAGCTGTTGGAGTGCCCTCAATGACGGGAGGTTATATACCAAGGAATTAATGAGATGTTCAAAACCTTTCCTGCTCATGCAAGATGTTTTTTTTCACAGAATCTTCTTAAAGACAGTCCTTATAGTTTACTTGGGATCTAGGTTTAAACTTCCCTTTGTTGGTTCCTTCAGGTGAATATCACAGACGTAGATATCTTTAATTACCAAGTTTGTCCAGCTAAATTTTGGCTTTTATCTTTTTGAAGCCTGATTTTCAAAGGTGCCATGAATCTGTGATTGCTAGATTGCACTCAGTCTAGATGTAGGTGGCCAGCACTTCTGTACTATCAGTCTTAACCTGAGGTTTTTTCTATATTACCCTTACTGCAAACCACCAAGAATTCAATACTGCTCTTGGCAAATAGTGTTATGTATTTTGGAGACTGGTTTTGAACAGACACTTATTTTATTCTCCTGCTGTTATTTCTGATTGATTATTCAGTGTTGGTGTTAATATCTTTTTTTCAGCATTTCATACAATGCAAACATTCTTCAGATTCTTGATATAGATTCAGCAGAAACCTTGATTCTCACCACTGTGGCCTTTACTCAGTGTTTAATGTGGTGTTAGCTACAATTTCCTAAACCATAGTCTTTCATTTGATCCACAGTTATGCTCCACTTTATTTCACTGTTATTGTCTTTTTCTCCCCAGCACCAGAATTACACCCTTCTTTTGTTCCACTACTATTCCAACTTTTTGTTCACCGGCCTCAAAGCGCTGTGATTAGATCACTGGGAATCAGTAAAATTTTATCTGAGGCAAGTTTATAATATTGCTGCAGTGGTTATTTTTCTGGTTTGTTATATCAAACTGAATTCTCTTGCTTCTTCCTATTGTTCCCTTTTTCTCAACCATCTCTTTATCAGTACAGGTTCATTCCTGTCTTGCAAATGCTCCTGCTACCCACTTCTCTGCTGCCTCATTAACCTTTATAAACCTTTGCATGTTGGCAGGTGTAGTGTCATGACTACTGCGTGCTCAGGATCACTGTTCCTGGTGTGACACCATTTCCACTGCACGCTTCAGAATTTGGACTAATATTTTATTCTTGGTGTTGGAAGAGCTTGTTGCAGAGACCGTTGCAACACCAGTGAAGTGTTTGGTTTGCCTGAGCGTCATTTAGTCCTTGAGCTCAGAGTACATATGCTTCCCTAGACTCCTCTTTTCATTCTGCCTTCTTCCCTCGAGCAGGGTAGTTTCCAGATGAGCTCTCATTTTCAGTCTTCCTACTGATTTACTTGCTGTCCTATTAATTTTTGGGCATACCAGTGTATACTTTTCCTAACTCTTACCTTGCACTTTGGAGGACAGGCACTTTTTTATTTTTTAAACCACAAGTGCAGGGTGAGCTTTTAAAACTTCAATGGCCCAATATAATGGGAGTACATCAGAGCTGCATCTCAGGTTGCCCCAGTGTTCTAGGCTGTATTGTAAATTGAAATGAGCAATCTTGACAACACCTAAGCACATTCTTGTTTCGATTGCAAAACCAAACTAGTTGTGCACTTTATACAGTATTCTCCTTAATAAATACCTGAAATAATCTGTTATCAATTACACTTTATTTTTCCTCTTTCTTTAAAGATGTATGTTATACATAAAGATGTATGTTATTTTGGACTGGAAATGCTGTCCATTAGCACAGGTTTCTCTGAGGACCGAAATGTGTTTTGGTTCCTCTGCTAAGGTGTGTTTAAGCCGCTCTCAAGTCCTAGTTGTATTTTCTGGTAATTTTTCTTTTTTTACCTTTTTTTTTTTTTTTCAGACAGTTTTCCTGATTCTAGTTTTTGGTCCATTTGAAATGTTTTAGGGATGTGTGAGTTGCACAGAACAGTAATTCTCTTAATGGAGTCTGTATCTCCACTTCAATAACCAGAGGAGGGCACTGGTACCTGGTTCTTGATCTTTCCCAGCTCCAGGAGACTCATGCACGGTGCTGCTCTGTGACAGGTGAGATGCTTCCTCTGCAGCAACACTTCCATCTGTAATTGGTGGAAGTGATAAGGAAGTTTTGCTGTTGCTTCTAGAAAATTTCTAGCATATTTCTTTCAAAAGATGATATTCCTTCATGATACAACACTCAACACTGTAGACAGTGGGATCAGTGTTATCTGGCTTTGTTCTTTGGCTGATGGATCCTGCACCTTAGAGATCGGGGAATGCTGGAGCCCCTGTGCTTCTGAACTGACAGCATCTTCAAAGAAGGTAGTGGCATGTTTGAAGGAAAACGTGGGTGTTTCCCTTCATGTTCATTCCTAAGAAGGTAAAGATGTAACTTTGGGAGTTTCAGCAGTGCTCTGTTCATCTTCCATCTAGTTTCAAAAATGCAGTGGAACCCAGTCTTTCCTTGTTCTTATCCTAAACAGCTGCTTCTCCAGAGCAAGATCAAACTTTGCGTTAAGTTAAAGTAACTAGCATGCGTTGATGTTGCATGACGATGCTGCAATGTCACTGTTAATAGAATAGCAAAGTAAGTCTCTTACCTGCATACGTACTGAGCTTAAGCATCATCTTGTTTCATCTGGCAGATGGGCTCACACACTTGGTGTGAGTTTTTGCTGGTTTAGTCACTATGGGTATCAGATTACAGGACTGTCTTGCATCTTCATAGGCTCTGGGGTCACAGAGCAGAAGGTGAGTGCTCGATTAGTACTGTGTGGTTTCACCTGCAGAGGTACAAGTGGAAATTTACCTCTGGTCCTTGTAGCTCTGGTAGCTCTGCTTGCCCAGGTCTATTGAAGCCCCCTTTTTTTTGGGTGTTGTCCTGCCGCCCCTGTGGAGCTCCCTCTTTGTCTGAGCAATGCTGTCACACACTTGTTCCATGCTGTATGGCTCTCTGGTGATCTCCAGCCAGACTCTCTTGGCCCTTGTCTCAACGAAAGGGCTTCCTGAATTCCTATGGCTTTGGATCTGCTGGATGTCCTGACACCAGTGCCAGAGCTGGTGAGGTGCTTGCCAGCTGTACCTTCAGCTGCCATACAGAATGAGAACTTTTTATTCATCATCCATACCAACCTGCCTGCATCTTCAAAGCCATCTTCTGGCACAGTTGGATTTCTTTCTCCATGGTATTCTTTCAGCTTATTTCCTACCAGGACCCCTGGTGGTCTAGGGTTAGGATGCAGCACTCTCACCGCTGCGACCCGGGTTCGGATCCCGGTCAGGGAAACTCCCCCGGGCAGATGGAGCTCGACAGCCCTGTAAGGCCATCCGTCTAAGAGAAGGTCACTGTAAACAAACCTACATCCTGAGGACCTCACTGCCACTGTCCAAGCTTGCTCGGCCCCGGCAGATGAACCTTAGGATTAAAGGGTGAGCTCAGTTCAGCGCACTCTTTGTCTCACCTAAAAAATCCACTGCGCAGGCTTGAAGGGTAAGACCTTTCCCAAATCTTCGTCCGCGAAGACTGGCCATACATATACATTTCCTACCAGAACTCATTCTGGTTCCAGTGCTGTTGTCTGATTCTTTTTGGAGTTAATGAACTGAAAGCAGTCAGTCCTTTACCATGTGGACCAAATGCACCCTTCTTCCTTCAGCAGCAAGATTCCAGTTGCTTTCATGGAGCAATATCCAAAAAGGCCTAATGCAGATTTCCAGTCTGCTCCAGGTTCAGTCATGTCTTTCACTCACATTTTTTCATCACTTCTCTATTTTGAAATCTTTTGAACATCTTTTGAAAGACTTTAGTTGTTCCCTTATAGGAATGTTATTTCATTATTGCATGCTGGAATCTTTAGAGATACCTTCACTTTTTTTTTTTTAATGTGAAAGTACTGTAACAGCAGTGAAAATCATATGGAAATTCCTGTTATGTTTCTAGACTCCCTTTCCCCCTCTGCAGGCCTGTCTGAGCTGCTGGGGGGCAGCTGTGTTCCCCCTTGTGTTGCACGGGGACAGTAAGCACTGGAAGCATTTTTTCTTGCATTTTTAACAGGCAGCATGCAAACTTTGTTCTGCTTCTCTTTACCCTTTATGCAGCTATTTTTTTTTTTCAATTGGGTTGTTTGGTTTTTTTTCCTAACTGGAATTTTTTGTTCAGGAAACTTTCACATGCTCAGTAGCAGTTGTAGTTTCTCGAGCTTTGTCAGAACTGCCTTAAATTTGTCCCTGTTTTTAATGTCATTATTTAACTATTCGTTGCAAGTTAGGCTTGTTATATAGAAATGTGCACTCTTCACCTCTTCTTTGGAACCGCTCAACACTCAGAGATTTCTTGGAATATAACGGGGAGCTGTTAGGTGATAAGAGTCTTTGAAAATCAGGCTAACAAACAGAAATGGACAAGCCTCTTTTTTCCTTAGTTGTACTCAATACATGGATAAAGTAAACATTAAGAAACGTGAACCTCACGTACTTAATGGATAAGACGTTGCTGCTCTCTGTGCAGCTCGCTGCAGCTCTAGGAGTGTCCCCGTGCAGGCTGTGGTCAGAGCACACCGCACAGGTCACCCGCTGATGCAGCTGTGAAAACCCAGATCCAAAATTCAGTGACAAAGTAGCTCTGCCCATCTATTTCTTCAGTCACACATGGAGAGAAAAGGCATTGCTTACCCAGGTTGGTCCTTCACTACCAAGCACCTTAAGAAATCCAGACCAGCACCTTGAAGGTCCCCCTGGAATGAGTAGTGACTTCTTGGTGTGATTATTTGATCGTTTCCTTCTGAACTGAAAACAGATTTGCTGTTTCATAGTATCTCATGTTCTTGTGCACTAGTGCAGCTGGCTGTGTCTGTTCCTGGAGATCCAGGCACAGTCTGGTGTCCTGTGGTCAATCCTGGTCACCCTGACATTTCTTATTTGTCGAGAACTATGCCTTCAAAAGACAATGTCAAAAAGGCAGTTTGCAAAATAACGAGCTTTTCTGATCACAGACCTTTTCAGAAAGCCTGTAGGCTTTTTGCTCCCCAGTGTGTGTTGAAGTAAGAGAATGAGGTCCAAGAGATTGCTGAACCATGGCTCTGAGGGGTTCTTGGTGTGTGAACATTCCTCCCGTCCTTGCACAAGGATGGGGAATGGCCAAC